GTCAGTGAATATTGGAAACAAATCCGATGAGTGTGCTTGAAAAATTGGAAATGGGTTAGAAAAAAAAAAAAGAGCTGTGAGAAAAAACAAGAGCATGAAAAGTGAGGGAAGTCTGAGAAGCCCAAAAGGCTCAATTTTTGGGAGTGAAGATGATGCATCTGCGGGAAGGGACTGCTGTGTTCTGATTCAGCAGGAAAAGTCTGTGAAACACCGACACTCAGGGGCTGAAGTGAAGAAAAATAGAAGTGTGGCTCGATTGATTTGACTTTTTTTTTTTGCTGAACAGTGAGGGTAATCAAGCCTTGGAAAAGTTTACTTAGGGCCATGGGGTGGATTTGTTGGATCCCCTTCGAAAATAAAGATGAGAAGCTCGAGGAGCTCACGGAGGATTTTTGGGGAGGATCAGCAGCGGCGAGGAGAGCCAAGATAATCAACTCACTCCCTCCAGACTAAGCGATGGGACCTGGCTGAGCTGCTAATTGTTGTTTTTCCTTAAGATTTCCAATTCTTTGGGGCATGGAGTGGTTTTTCCTCTGCCTGGAAAGCGGCAGGAGCCGGTTGCAGCAGGGATGAGGGCGGGGCAGGTGATGCCGGAGGAGGCTGCTGGAGGAAAGGCTTCATGCCGGAGCGGTTTTAGTGCTGGGCTCCCCCAAAACGGGGCTGGTTTTGGGGCTGGCTCACAACGAAGGGTCTTTTCCTGCAGGACTGGGTTTCCCACTTGGCAGCAGGTACAGCGTGGCTGGCCAGTTGTGATGGCATTAATGACTTATCAGGAGAATGCAGGAAAACGGAGTTTTCGGGCTCTTCTCCAGAAGAAAAGCTGAGCGCAGACTTTGACCTTTCATCATAGAATCATAGAATTGTCCAGGCTGGAAGGGACCTCCAAAGGTCATCTAGTCCAACCTCCCCGCAGTCAGCAGGGACACCCCCAACTAGACCAGGTTGCCCAGGGCATTGAGGAGCAACTGCGATGAGACCAGAGCAAAAGACTCAGCGGTGGCTGTGCCCAGCACTGTGTGGTCCAGGCTGGAGAGACACCTTGCTGGAAGCTCGCTACGCCAGCAGGAGCAAGACTTGGACACGTCAACACTTAAGCTAGATATTAGGAAGACATTTTTTATGATGAGAAACACTGGCCCAGGCTGGCCAGAGAAGCTGTGGATGCTCCATCCCTGAAAACATTCAAAGTCAGGTTGGATGGGGCTTTGAGCAACCCAATGGAGGTGAAGATGTCCCTGCTCATGGCAGGGGGTTGGACTGGATGGCCTTTAAATGTTCCTTCCCCCCCAAACCATCCCATGATTCTATGAACACTTGCCCCACCAGATGCTAAGCAATAGCCATGGACAGCTTAGTCCCAACAGCCTGGCATCACCGGCAAACATTCAAGGTGTGGAGGTTTGTCCTGGGTTCCCTTCTCCGTGGAAACCTGGCACCACTCAGCATGGTTGGAGCTGTTGTGGGGTCTCACCAGCTGCCAGCATCATCCATTTCAGCTCCTTGAAAATGCTTTGCACGCTTGTGTGCAAACCAGTGCCTCAGGGCAGCTCAGGGTGCATGGAGCATTCCGGGACAGGGACACCTTGGGGTGCTGGTCTGCACCCGGGGAGGTTTTAGGGATGGGGGATGTGGGATGAACCTGCTGTGTCTAAACAACAGTGGCGGGTCTGGAGGACCATGTGTCAAACCCCTTGTGATTATTTGTCCTTGCTGGGAGGGGGTTTATAATATGTGGAAACCAGAAAGATGGGAGGGTGCTGCTGGAGCATTGTCCCGGGTGTGATTCCTGTGTGGTTTTCCTTTCCCCCCACCCCAAACTTCAGCTCTCCCCGCAGGTTGGCACATGCGGTCTGTGGCTTTTTAGAGGAAGAGAAACCAAAGGCAAAGCCTGGAATATTTTTTATTATTATTATTATTGTTTTGCACATCAGAGCTAGGGCTTTAGCCTTTTGAAAGGTCATTGGCGAGTGGGTGGGGGCCAGAATTGCTGGCTGCTGAAGTAGGAGGTGTTTTTACAGGATGTGCAGCGAGGCTGAAACCGCCCTCCTAAAATTTTATGGGCTTGCAATGAGCCAAAGGCCCTTTCTCAGGTGGATGGCCTGACTGCTGCAGCCATGCTCTGTCCCAGTCCATCCCGCCCCGGCATGGGGTGAAGGGGGCTGAGCCCCCCGAGGGCAGGTCGGGAGGCAATGGTGGAGGTTGAGCTCTGGGTGGTGGGTGATCCCATTGCTGGCTGTCCACTGCCATATCCACCTCCCGAAATGTCCAAACATGAGCTGCCAAAAGCTGCTTCTCCTCCCAGAGAGCCAAACCGCTGCCACTCAGCCTGTCACCACAGTGGGGTCCCTTCCCCACCTCCAAAGCCTGTGATGTCTTCTTCACCTGAGGCTGCGAGGTCTTCATGAGTCCTTCATCCATCCCACCTTCCAGTACCTGGAAGGTACCACAGGAGGTACTAAAGTGGCTACAGGAGGGATGGGGATAAACTTTTCAGCAGAGCCTCTTGCCATAGGACAAGGGTAATGATTTTAAACTAAAAGGGGAGATTTAGGTTAGAGCTAAGGAAGAATTTTTTACAATGAGGGTGGTGAGACCCAGGTTGGAGGGGACTTGGAGCAACCTGGTCTGGTGGGAGGTGTCCCTGCCCAGGGCAGGGGAGTGGACAAGTGGACTAGTCTCACACAAACTATTCCATGATTCTATGATTCCCTGAGTTTTGCAAGCTCTCCAAGAGCCAGCTGCAATTTTCTTAGTCCTTCTCCACTGAGCCCCTGTCCCCGCTGCCTCTCTGGGAGTTGTTTGATACCGATGAACATTTTTGGTGCCTGTTCCCCACTTCCACTCTTACCCCAGAGGAGAAATCTAACCTGAAGGCACCTCATTCTGATGATGCAAACACACCCAGCGCCCTACATCACCGTGGGACTGGGAGACCAGCTCCACCTTGGCTCCACCAGAGGAGAAGCAGCAGCAGTTGGGGACACCCTGGCTCCCTCCCGGTGCTCCCTCCACCACCCTAGGCAGGTTTCGCTGCCGGTGCTTATCAGTGCGGTGTCTCCGCCAGCTCCGCCGCCTTGTGCCCCGGCGGGATTTCATGATCTCACCTCCTTATATGGCGAAACTATTCTTTTTCTAGCTTGGCATTGTTTATAGCCCAGTTGAAAATATTTAGGCTCTGGCTGGGTTCTACAATTGTCTTGTAACCTACAGGGCATATAATTAGCATTAGTTAATGTGCAATTATCTGCATCTGCGTAAAATGAAGGGTTGCTGGCAATGAGGTGGCATTCACAGCCCTTCTTGTTGTTTTCTGCAATAACAGTAAAAGCAAACCTGTCACATTCTGTTTTAAAATAAACATTTTTCTTCCCCCTAGTAAATTCTATTTGGCAAATATTGCTGTGCTGGGGTTGGGGTTTTTTTCCCTTCTCTCCTTTTTTTTTTTTTTTCCCTCTGTGGAAAATTTATTTAAAAAGGAGAAATGTTTGGAGTTTGCAAGGAGATGAAAAAAAAGGGGCCAGGAGGCGGGCGGCTGCAAGTCCCTGCTGCTTTCCAGAGCCTGGCTTTGATGGGGATTCAATGGCTGGAAGCCCATTGATGGGAGCACGGACCCAATTCCCTGCTGCAGGGTCAGATGTAAAATCCCACTAGCTCCAAACTGCTTTGAAGGGAGAAAATTGAATGGTAAGGGCTTGGCTTGCCTGTGAGGGAAATGCCTGGGGGGGCGGGGGGGTGTTACTTGTGCTTTGAGGAGCTCCTGACCTTTGACCCCTCAGCACAAGAAGAACATAAACCTGTTGGATGGGGCCAGAGGAGGCCATGGAGATGCTGGGAGGTCTGGAGCCCCTCTGCTGTGATGACAGGCTGAGAGAGTTGGGGGGGTTCAGCCTGGAGAAGAGAAGGCTCCAGGGAGACCTTCGAGCCCCTTCCGGTCCCTCCAGGGGCTCCAGGAAAACTGGGGAGGGACTCTGGATCAGGGAGAGCAGCCATAGGAGGAGGGGGAAGGGTTTGACCCTGAAAGAGGGGAGATTGAGATGAGATCTGGGGAAGAACTTCTCTGCTGTGAGGGTGGTGAGAGCCTGGCCCAGGTTGCCCAGAGAAGCTGTGGCTGCCCCATCCCTGGAGGGGTTCAAGGGCAGGTTGGAGGGGGCTTGGAGCAACCTGGTCTGGTGGGAGGTGTCCCTGCCCAGGGCAGGGGGTGGGAGTGGGTGAGCTTTAACATCCCTTCCAACCCAAACCAGGCTATAATTGTGTGATCTGCACGGTTGAGGCCCCCAGTCCCACCACAAGCCTTGCAGCCATGCCAGGATGGTTGAGCTTTTCCGTTCATTTGTTTTTCCTGGGGTTTTAATGATTTTTGTTGGTTTTGATGGAGCTGCCACATCAGTGCACAGGCATGGAGGATTTGAGCTCTTCTGAGTGAGTGGATGGCAGGAACGGCTCCGTGCACCTTGCCGAAGGACGGGGACATCAAACTCTGGCTCATCAAGGGAGCAGAGAGGATGGTGGAGCTAGGGGCTCCCTCCACTGCTCACCCTGTCTCGAGGCAGGGATGTGCAGGGCAAAGAGGTGTCACAAGCTGGTGTGGCACAAGTTTGCCTGTCCTTTTCTCACAGACATTCACTGCGATATCAGTCCACGGTGCAAGGAAACCTGTCTGGAGGGAGGGAAGGTGGATATTCTCTTGCCTGTCCAGGCTGTGTGCTGTGGGGGCTGGATGGGCTGAGGACACCCCCTTGTCCCCATCACCACCTCCAGCCCCAAGCCCTCATCCACTATGGCCTTGCCCCTTTGTCTGCACCATCTCTCTGTGCCTCAGTTTCCCTATTGCACCTCCAGACCAGTCTCAGGGGAGCAGAAGGATTGAGCTGGAGCCAAGGGGATGCTGGTGGTCCCATGTGGGACGATTAGCCAGCCCAAGCCGGGGGGATGGAGGGAGGGAAGAGGAGGCCGCGGGCAAAGGCCGTGTAATAAGAATATTTGTTTTGCCTGTTTTGCAGAGTTTCAATGTTCTGACTTGCTCTAAGATGAAGGTATGGAAGTTTGCAGCCATTGCATCGATGCTCCTCAGTTCCATGTTATCCATTTTAGTTTGTAGAGACATGTTCAACAGAAGCCGGAAATACAGCCCCTTGCCTTCCTCGCCGTCTTCCTCACGGGCATCCCCCTCCTCATCCTCCTCCTCCTCCTCACTGCCAGTGGCTCCACGGAGATCCCCACGGGCCCTGCAACGCCACAGCTCGCTGCTCTCCCAGTGTAAGCCACCACGCTGCTGCCCCAGGGCCGCCGTCCCCCCCGTACCCGCAGGATCTGTCCCCATGTCCCTGGCGGGACACCCTTTGGGGTCATGAGCAAAGCCCAAGGCAGCCCGAGGGGTTTATTCTCCATTTTCTTTCCCCGACACCCCTCCTGCTTCTGTGCATCCCCTTTAGGAGTGTTTAAAGAGGAGTTTGGGGTGCAGTGGGGAGGGTTCGGGGCAGCGAGGGTTCCTGTAAAAATCACAGAGTTCTAGAGTGGTTGGAGTTGGGAAGGACCAGTTCCAACCCCCCCCTGCAAAAATGGGCACCAAATCGTGGTGTGAGTACGTCAGTTCTCCATGTGGGGCAACGAAATGCGAATGGCTTCTCTTAATGCAAAGAAGCTGCTTTTTTAGCCCCAAATGTGCTTTTTTTGATTTTTTAAAAATGTCTTTCTTTTTTTTTTTTTTTTTTTTTCTGCACTATTTTTACAAATGCAAAATGTCAAACAGGAGCTGGAAGGCGGGGCGAGGGGATGGCTCCACTCCACGGGGAGGCAGCAACTTCCCCTCAGCGCCACTCGCCCCTTGGCGCTGAGAGTCGCCCGTGTGTTTGTTCACAGTCCAAACCAGAACAGCTTCTTTTGGGGTTGAAAGTGGGAAATCGATGACAAGCTGTCAAATTAGGCTTTCCTCTTTCTTTCCGGTACCTCCACTGGTTCTGAGCTGGACTTACCCCGGCTTTAGGGTTAGGACAACGGGATTTGGCTGTTTACAGCAACACTGGGGACAGGTTGCCTGTTGGCCGATGGCCTGAGGGTCTTGGGGGGCAGCTCTTCCACACAGACCATAAGAAAACAGTGGAAATATTAAATTTATTGGTGTTTCGACCCAATCCCATTGTGTTTTTTTCTGCAGCATCCTCTCTTGGTCAGGATCAGGTGGGTTTTCCACCTTTTCTTGTGCCATGAAGGAGCACCACTGGCGTCTCTAATTCCCTCCGGGATGCTCTTTGCAGGCGCTTTGTCCTTTCAATGTCCCAACCACGGTGCCAGCGTCTGGCCACACCAGAGAAGCACGGCTGCCCCATTCCCTGGCCACAGCCACCTGGAAACCATGAGAGAGGCAGGAATTGGTTGTAGGAGGATTATTTTCCTCCCTAAATAGCTGACTTTAAAGCCTGTTGTGCAGTGGAAGGGGCTGCCTAGGACAGCTCCAGGCAGGGGGGCGCTCGTAGGGAGAAAAAGATAAAATAAGGGAGAAGAAGGAAAGGGCATAAAGGGGATTTGAGGATTTTTTCACCCCGCTGCATTCCTGCCCTTGTGGGATGGGGGTGGCTTGGCTGCGGCACCCCCTGTGCCCTCCCTGGACCTCCTGAGGCCATGCAGGTTTCTGGCCGTGGGGTTTGAGGCACATCTCAAACGATGGCTTCTGGGAGACGCTGTGGTTCAGCCATGTGTTATCAGGCTGCAGGGCTGAATTTTGCAATTTTGCAATTGCTATCTGGCACAGAAGGAGCCAGGAGCCAGAACTGAAGGACCACCCCAGGGCACCTCCATCCTTGGAGGCATCCACCTGGCCAGGGAGACCTCCATCCTGGGGGACATCTACCTACCCAGGAGGACACCCTTCTGCCCCAGAGGACCTCTATCCTGGGGGACATCCACCAGCCCCGAGACCTTCATCATGGGGGACATCCACCTGCCTGGGGAATGCCATCCTGGGGGATGTCCATCCACCCCAGGGGACCTCTATCCTGGGGGACATCAACCTGCCCAGGGGCAAACACACCTGCCCTATGGCATTGGGGGGTTGGACTAGATGATCTCCAGAGGTCCCTTCCAACCCCATATGATTCTATGATCTCCATCCTGGGGAACATCCACCAGACCCAAGGGACATCCATCCTCGGGGACATCCACCTGGCCAGGGGGACCTCCATCCTGGGGCATATCCACCCACACCATGTAACATCCACCACCCCAGGAGACACACACTAATGTCCACCCGTTCTCTTGCAGACAGCAGCTTGTTGGAGAGCTACACGGAGGGGGAGATTCGGCAGCTGATCTTGGCGCTGGTGGAGCGCTACAGCCAGGCCATGAACTCGGGTGGCCACGAGCTGCCACTCTTTGCCCGGTCGGGCAGCCGCAGGAAGCGCGCCCGCGCTCGCCACAAACCCTGTGCCCTGAAGGAGCTGGAGGTGAGTGTCAGCGAGCTGGGCCTGGGCTACGAGTCGGATGAGACGGTGCTTTTCCGCTACTGCAGTGGCACCTGTGAGGCTGCCGTCCGCAGCTATGACCTCTCACTGAAGAGCATGAGGAGCAGGAGGAAGATCAAGAAGGAGAAGGTCCGGGCTCGGCCCTGCTGCCGGCCGCTGGCCTATGACGATGATGTCTCCTTCCTGGATGCCTACAATCGCTACTACACCGTCAACGAGCTCTCGGCCAAGGAGTGCGGCTGTGTGTGAAGGGCAGGGGCATCCTCAGGAGGAGCCGGCAGGAGAGGCGATGGCCCGGCCCCGAAACCCCACTGCCTGCTGGGCAGAGGGACAGGGGGCTGTGGCAGGGGGGCGAGGGACGAGCCCCAGACCTCTGGCTGGAAGAGGAGAGACTGAGCTGCTCACACATCCCTTGGTGCCACTGTCCCCTTGGCTGCACAGGACTAGAGACGTGGCTGTCAGTGGAGGCTGTAGTCGCTGGAGCGGTGGTGGCTGCTTGTGGCTGTTGTCCCCCCAGGGGGTGGCCCGGGGGTCCCTGTCACCCCTCCAGGAGGGTGACAGTGGGTGTGCGACATGCATGGAGCATGTTGCCCACTTGGGGTGCATTACGTGTGATACGTAACAGTCATGTTACCAGCGGAGGGGGTGTTGTAAAGTGGGTGTCCCCTGCTCGGGGTGTCCCCTGCACACACTGCAGAGGTGACGGGTGCCCTGCCCACATCAGGAGTCGCACAGGAGTGTTGGTGCATGGGGGGTGTTGTACGGGTGTTGCTGTGGTCAGCGTGTGCTGCACACAGGGGGTGTGTTACAGGGTGTATTAGTTGGCTGTGGGTGCCCTGTGTCACCCCAGGACGGGGGGCTGAGCCCTGTGGGCTGTAGATGCCTTGTGGAGGGGTTCCCTGTCCTGGGGTCCCCACACTGCTGGGGGCAATTCAGTGCCCCCAGTCCCCGTGTCTGGGAGCAGAGTTGCACCCATGATGGTTTGGTCCTGGGGGAAAGGGCTCTGGCTCCGCTCCCCATGTCCTCTCATGACCCCTTTGCTGTTGCCTCGCTCCCCGCAGCCCCTGGATTTGCTTCTTAAAACTTGCCATAATCTGAAGTAACTGGATTAACCTCCCTTCCCCTCCTTGGGCAGCTGGGCTGGAGACCCGCCACCGCCAGGGAGGTGACGGACCCTTGCAAGGCCACCAGTGTGGCCAGGTTTGCAGACCCGGGTGGGAGCATCTGTGGTTCGGCATCTCCTGAAAGCTGGACCCACTCCTCTCCTGGCCGTGGGATGTGAGTGGTGCCCATCACCCCAACGGGGCTGGAATCATGCGGGAGAGGGGACTCTTGAGGCCTGGGGTTTGGCTCCGGTTCGCATTTACAGCAGTGTCACTCCTGTTTACTCTGCGGAGAAATAAATGAGACCGCAGACTTTTGCATTCTCTGGGCAGGCTATATTTGTTGCCTGGGATTGATGGGTTTTCTCCCCTTGGCCCTCTTCCCAGAAAGAGCAAATCATAAGCAGAAGGCGAATATTGGTATCATGTCCTGGGCATTAACCAGCGGGAGGGAAAACGCTCTTCTTGCCATCCCCTCCAGGTCCCAACGGCGTCCCAGCTCCTCAGTCCAGCTAAAGTGGGAAAAAGTATCCCGTGCACCTTCATCCCAGCAAGATAGTGAGGAGGAGGTGATGGCAGCAGCTTAGAGATGCTGCTGCAGAATTTTGGGGAGCAGGTCGGCATCCCCCATGGCTCAGTTTAGGATGGGAGACAGCTCTTCCCCCCCTTGCATCTCCCTTGGGTGACCAGCAGTGCTCCTGACCTCCGCAAAGGGCTGGGCTGGTGGTTTTTTTTTCTTGCTTTTCATCCAAATGTTGCTCTTGGCTGAGTGAAGCCAGGATGTAGTGAAGCAATATAAACACCATCCCTCAGCAGGGCTGGCCGCCCTGCGGCATCCTTGGGAAAGCAGCCTGCACTCTGTAACACAGAGTTTTCCCCTCACTCTTGGGAAAGGGAGATGGCAGCTGTGGCCATGGGGCATTAAACCCATCTGTGGGGCAGGAAACCCCTCTGTGGGGAGCAAAATGCCTCTGTGGGGTATCACACATGCTGGGGAACTGGCATGAGTTGACAAACCCACAGGGTTGTCAATGCTGCTGGGATGCAGGGATGCAAATGCTGCTGAGACCAGGCAAACTCGAGCCACATTGCAGGTGCATGGAGCTCCCAAAACAGCCTCGCGAGGTGTTGCAGCAGTGAGAAGGAGAGCTTGCGCCACTGGGCTTTGGACGGAAATTAAAAAGATAGCCCAAAATAAGCAGCTGGGGCTGCACAGAGGGAGCAGAATGGGGACAGCAGATGGGCAGTCCCAGCGTGAGCCGCACCGCACTCACAGCAGATAAATGGCTCACTCTCCACTTCAAAAAAAAAAGCCCCCAAATCTAATAATAATAACTGCACTCTCAAGGGCTTGGGTGCTTTCCAGTTCTCACTACTATAAAACTAAAATTAGTTTTGTTGCAGAAGCCTCCATAAAAAAAATAAAATACAAAAAGGGAAGTAGAGCAATAAAGCAAGGGAAGGTGTTGCAGAAGCAGCGCAGGAGGCACTGCAGGAGGAGGAGGAGGGCTTGCAGCCAGGTTTCCCGGAGCGGCCTCCGCTTGTGTCCCCTCTCAGCCCAAGGGAGATGTTGGGGCTGTGGCGTTTCCCCATGTAGTTGGTTGCGCCCTGGTTTGGGAAAATTTTTTGTCAATATCTGGGGATTTCGGGTGTGGTGATTTGCAGCGGAGTGTGTGAGCAGGCTGAGGGCTCTCCCAGCCCAGGGGGACCTTCCCCTCGCTGGGTGCTTGCTGGGAGCACTGGGGAGCTGATGGGGCTCAAGAGGGGGCTTGGGGGGAGGTGAGGGGGCTCGGGGCTCAGGAGGGGACTCAGGGCTCAGCAGAGGATGCTCAGACACCCCAGGACCCGCTCTCATACCTTCCACCTGCCAAACACCTTCCAGTTCACCCATGCGCAGCTCACAACCTCAAAAAAACCCGCACAGATAGGGAAAAAAACCCGCTGCAATGCATCTGTTAAACTGACACCAATAGCTCCAATTAATCTCTCTTTTCTCCTTTTTTTTTTTTTCTCTCTTCACCCTGCTGGCAGCCGAGCCTCAGCCTGTGCAGAGGTGATAGGGAAGCGCCTGATGTCTGCTGCAGCTGAGTGCACTGCGATGCCTTATTTCAGGTTGCAGCTGGGGCGCAGCTGGGATTTGCAACTGCAAAACTCCCCCAAAGTCTCAAGCTTTGCCAGGTGCATCACAGCCAGGGCTTTTCCTTGCGTCCTTTCTTCCCTGCGTCCCACTCAGGGTCATCTCCGAGCTCCTTGGGCTCCGCTGCAGCAGTGTTGCTCCCACCGTCGCCGTCCTGTGCCGGGCAGGGAAATGTGGTTCCAATAGAAAGGCCGATATTTCCCTGATGCTTTCCATTTCTACAGCACTCTCCGCTGTAATTGGAGCCGGAGCTGTCCGGAAGAATGTCTACAATGCAGAAAGGGCAAAAAAAGGATGGAAAATTCCCTGCTCAAAGCTACAGTGAAATCTCATCTGGCCCCTTCCTCATCCCCCCGTGGGTTATTTATTGTTAATAATAATAAATAGTGTGTAACATCTGTTGGGGGGTGTTCTGAGGTCGAGTGGTTTGCAGTGTGCCTGTCTGTTGAACAGATTCTGCTCTTTGCAGCAGCAGTCGCTCTGCAGGAGACGAGGGTGTTTTGCAGCCTTCGAAAAGACTCAGGCAGCTTGGAAAGGTGAGGAGATGTTTAAACCCACCCCGGTGCTTGTGATAGCACAAAATATGAGTGTTATGCTATTCCATCTCTCTGACAGTGAGCTATGGGATGGTTCGTTGTATTTCGCTGCACACACTACATACGTGTGTGGTGTTTGTGTGAGGCCGGTTGGTGCCGGGGGGCAGCCGAAGCTCCAGCGCTGGCTCGGATCCACCCCCCATCCAGGGGTTCGGGGTCCCCTTTGCTGACACGGTCTTGCTCCCCGTTTGGTGTCTGCATGGGGGGAAACGGGTCTAACATCATTGTTTCCACTTGATGAAAGCACTGGCAAAGGGAGCGTTCCTTACTTAAACAGGTCCAGAAACTCGCTGGGAAGAAATCACTTTCCCAATTTATCAAGGCGAATTGTTTTTTTGTCGGGATGTAAATCCTCACCCTCCCCACTCCCTGAATAAGGTGCCACATGTTTTCAGTATGGGCTCAACGAGGCGTAGTCTCAAACTTGAGGCCAAAGAGGAGGGGGGAAAAAAAAAAAAAGGGAAAAAAAAAAAAAAGGCGGGGGGAGGAAGGGAAAAGAAAAAAGGAGATTTGTTCCAGTGGGAGCGGGGTGGGAGCGCATGGTCCCCACAGCTCCGCTCAGCACCATCCGGATAAACCCATTCCGGGATTGTCGGCTCTGACCGACCATCTGCAGAAGTTGATGCAATGCATCTATATTTTAGATACTCTATATTTATTCAAAGTTAACTTATGTTATTTATTTAGATACCATAGTGTGCCATCTACGTAATGTGTTCTTTCTCTCTCTCTCTTTTGTTTTTTTTAAATTTTATTTATTGAGCCAAATGGTGCCAAGTGCAGTTTACATTTATTACATTTGTACCATTTATTCTGAATGTTGGGGGAAAAAAATGCAGTATGATATTTTTTTTAAACAAACATAAACTTGGGTGTGATGCTGTTCCATACTCACGGCAAAGTGAAAATAAAAGGAGGATTATATTGATTTCTCGCTAGTTATTGTCTTTCACGGCTGCCTGTGGGTAAGAGAAAGTCGAGGGGGATGGGGATGGCCAGGAAAATGGGAAACTTGGCTTGTCTTTTGGGAGAGCAGAGACGGACAAAGGATGGCAGGAGCTTGACTTTATTTCCCGGTTTCCTGCACAAAGAGCCCCATTTCTTTCATTTTCATCTGCTGCAAAACCTGTATTTATTCAAACCAATCGTTCGAGATGTGGCCAGGGCCGGGTCGGTGGCGGCGTGGGTTTAGTCACAGAAATAATAATCTTTGCCCCTTTCTTGTAAAGGCACTTCCAGTTGGGTTGGCTCGAAGACGTGCCAATTCTGGCAAAATCACATTTAAAAAAAAATGCGGGGTTTTGATAAGGTCAGCCAGAAAAAAAGTTTCAGTTGCTCATCTGGAAGCGGTGCTGAGATTAGAAAAAGATTTTATTTTATTTTATTTTATTTTATAGGGAAAACATCTCAAAGGCAGCAGCAGGCACTGGCCAGGGGGGGGAGGTTTGTTGCTCTTCTTATTAGGATGGTTACAGTGGGTAATATTTTCTTAGGGCTGAAATAATGCAATTTGAAGGCCCAGCCAAGTTTAGGGCGGAAACAGGTTTGAAAGCTTGGAAAATGGAAGCGTTGGCCCCAAAGCTGCTACCGACCAGTCCCACCCCAGCTTCTTCTCCCCGATACTGGTTTCCAGTGGCTACCCAGGGGACAGAAGCCAGAGCCCAGGGAGAGCTGGTCGCACCTGAGCTGGTCTGGTTGTCCAGGGACCTGCTCTTTAAGCCCCATTTTAGCCCACATTAACCCCATTTAACAGATGTTGACTGCTTTAGATGTGCATTGCCTCCATTGAACATGGGCTCCCCCGACTTAATTCACGTTATCTCCACTTAACACACCTTTAACGCCTCCCTTCCCCCCACCCCCAGTTTAACACACGAGAACCCCACTGAACAGTCTACCCCCAATGAACACATATTACCCTGTCTTAAGACACATTACCCCCATTTAAGACACATTAGGGAATTTAACATGCAACGCATCGTTGTCCTGGATGGAGGGAAATGCCCTTTAAAAGCACTACCCCCACCCCAGTCTGTCTGAAAAATATAATTATTATTTTTTTCACTGAAAAATAGGCTGAAATTATCTCGTGCCCATGATGAGAGTGGGTACAAGTTCCTGCAGTCGTTTGTGAAGCCAGCGAGCTGCCCACTGCTCTGTCAGGCTTGGCACCGGCCAGTGGGGAACAACGGGGCGGGGCGGAGTGGAAAAAAAGAAGAGAAGCTAAAACGCTTTTGAACCACTAAGGTTTATAGCGGTTTTTTGGGAATGGAAAAAAAGATCTGTTTATATTCCCCCCTCATGCCACCCAGAGGCCTGACAGCCGTGGCCGGCTCGTGGCCGAGTCAAACATTCACGCTCGAAGCTCCACTTTGTAAATATTTTATGAAACATCTTTTGAGACTCATAAATCTCAGCATGTGCGCACGCATCTGCCCGCCCGCGGACGTGCGTGCACTCCGAGAACTAAGAAAAGCCACAGTGCTGCTGCCAGCCTGCCCAAAACAACAACAACATCATAAAAAAAAAATAGAAAAAAAAAAAAGGACAACCTTAAGTCCTAATGACCAAATTGGAGAGGGCTGCTTGGAAAATCTGACTCCTCCGAGAGCGTTAAAAAAAAAAAAAAGAAAAAAAACAACAGTCACAAGCAACAGCGTGAAGCTGGGACGTGCTGCTGGGCTGGGGCTGGGGTGATTTTGGGTGCAATTTCTTGGAGATGAGGTGCATGTTGCCAACTTACATAGTGTAAATGTGTGATTTTCACTTGTTTTAAAGTCCCAGCTTAAAAACCCCAGCTCTGGAATGATGCCCTGTGATCATTTGCTCATTTTTAAATGGGAAAAGTAACAGGTGGGAAATGGGCTGCTGAGAGTGCTTAGCCCCACCACTCCGTTTGAGCTTCACAAAATTACCTCCCAGTAAGAAAAATCTACGGGAAAATAAACCCAGCCTGACTTCAAACTGGAAGACACTCAATAAAATTGAAGACAAGAGCGTGCAGTTTGCAATTCTTCAAAAAACCCACCCAAACCCATATATAGTGGTGATATCTCTCCCAATACCTCTGGTATTTCTATTAGAAATATGAAGTTTGGGAATAACAATATTCGTTGCTTGAACTGCTGCTGGGGTTTTGCCACCAAGGAAGGAGGGAGCTCGGTGGAGCTGGACAGCCCTGGAGAAAACAGTCACAGTAATTTTGTATTTCCCCAAACGAGGAGCAGGTTTCCAAAGTATGGGAGGTCCCTGCCCCTCGGCTCAGGAAAATGGAAATAATTGAGTTTACAGAGTTGGTTCAGGCACCTTCACACACCCAGAAGGACAAAACTCTGAAACTCTGGAGTTTGCAAAGCTGCTGTTTTCAGGATTTTGGGATATCTGAGCCTTTTCTCTTCCCTTTCCCAAATGCAGAGCTCTGCCAAGCCGGGCTTGCTGAGGATTTGTGTTTCTTGCCTCTCCTCACTCCCCTCTGGCCCCAGTGTCTCTTCAGAGCAGAATTCAGACACTGCTCCAAAAACTCCATTTTTAACATTATTATCTCCCTGGTTTCCCATGAGGAACAGCCTCTTTCTCACCTCTTGGGGAAATACTGCTGTAAATCTTTCCCCATTCATTGCTTTTTGGACCATCTCAGCTGGGACCACCTCAGCCTCCTACCACCTTTGGGTGAAAAGATGAGAGGTTTGGGGGCAAATGGGGTGTTTTCACATCTTCTCTGGGGAGGTATCTCCAACTGGGTGTGGAGGGGGGGGACACCCATTTTGGCAAGGAGGCTGCAAACCCCAGGAAGAGCCGGATGGTGATTCCCAGAGCGGTCGTCCAGCCCTGGCCCTCCCCAAGCAGCATCCGGATGTTTCCTTCCATGAAGTCCTCCCTCATAGATTTTCCCAGGCCTAGTGTCAGCTTTCCCATACTTTAACCAAACCAGCCTGTGTCACACATGGGCATTTCTATCCCAGACCATGGCACGACCAAGCTGTTGCTTAAAGGAGGGGAAGCTTTAATACATTATTTTTATCCTTGCAACCCCACGTCCCCTCCTCAAGGACTATGGCTTGAGCCTGGGTGCAAGCTCTGAACACCCCATGGTCTTCCCACCCCCTAATGCTTCAGAAGAACTAAAATTCATACTTTGGTCACCCTCTGGAAGGCTGCAGCTCAATTTGGGGGATGAGAGTGGGGTCAACGTTCATAAATCTGTCCCCTGTATATTTATTTTACCTTTGCTGGTGCCCTTGGGGTCAGCAAGATCCTACTACTCCCTCCAAGGATCAACCAGGTCCCCAAATAACCCTTGGATCCGGAGGAGGGCTATGGCTGACCAGCCTGGCTGGCCTTGACCTGCCAAAGTAACTCCAAGCTCAAATGCAAACAGAGAGAGATGACCCCCCCTGGTGCTGCCGTTTTGCAAAAGAGTCCAAAAATTTACCGGACTTGACTCTTTAATCGATATTACATGACTCCAGGTCTCAGAAGCAAAGGATCTGGGAGGTTGGCAAGAGAAAACCAGGCATTTCTTGCAGCTGTTCTGCCACTCAGGGGCTCCCAAAAAGCTCCTGGAGAGGCTGCACCAGCAGGAGGCATCAGCAGGGATGGATAAATTATGTTTGACTTTCCCTGTACCTGGAAAAAGGGGTTTTCCACAAGGGTAAATAGCCCAGATTTGGGAGAATTGGCCCTCTCTCCATGCAAGATCTCTACTAAATGGATGCATCAAGCCCTGTGCTCCCCCAGGAGCCCCAGGCTCTTTCAAGTGCTCTCCTACCATTTAGCATCCCCCTCCATCTCTGTCCCAGCCCCTGCGGCACAGCACATGGGGCCGCCTACAGCCTGGCCACACTCTGAGGTGTGTGTCACCCACCATGGGCCATGGAAATTGTTCTGCTTTGCAGAAATGCTCCTCGTTGTGCTTCAGAGAAACCCCTCCCGGCCTGGGGCTTCGTTTTTCCGGTTTGGAAAGGCATTTCTTTCCACTCAAAAACTACCCTGAGTTTCAATCTGGCTCTTCCCCACCCCTCAGCAGGTGATTTTTATGTTTCAGGGTGAGCTCAATTGAAAATTTGCGAATTTATTTTTTGGGTTTGTGCTCACCTGAAAAACCCCCCAGCATTTGCTTTGCCTTCAGGACCCCCCCTTCCCTTCTTCCCCATGGCTGGCTCTCTTCCCAGCCCCGCACAGGAGGGGCTTTCCCCATCCAACCTCTTTCCAGCAAAAAACCGTTGGTGGTTCCTCGTTCCCAGAGCGTGTCGTCACCAAAGTGTGGCATTCCCAGAAAATGCCACGAGCGGCAGGTCTGAGGGGGTCTATCTGCACGACACGGCATCTCAGATGGGGCGGTTGGGCAGGTTTCCACTGTGCTTCATGCCCTCCTTGTCAAGGATTTGGAGAAGCTTCTTCCCCTCCCACCCCGACTTTTTGGGGGGATGCTCTAGACCAGTGGGTGGGGGGATGTTTTTCCAATGAAAGGTTCTCAGTGAAGATTTCATCTGGGACTTTGTTCTGTTGCACTCTGATGTTGCTGCAGTGTAACTCACCGCTCAATCTGCTCTGATAACACGCTGTTGATAATATTTACTTGTTGCTGGTGCGTTCATCAGGGAGAATTTCGGAGATCCCAGGGTGCATTTCCTTCCAGAGGACCATGGGCTGTCTTGCGCCCAACTCCAGGGTCAGGGACTACAAAGAAACAGGTCTTGAGGGAGATGGATGAAAGCTCCTGCTCACGAGCCTTTGCTTTCCCAGCGTTAGCCTCCAGGTCACTCAAAGAACTGAGAACCAAGTTGGAAATTAATTGCCTGTTTATTAAGATGTTTATTTAATGCACAGCACAGGGTGATCTCAATTGACACCATCACCAGCAGGACCAAAACTGGGCTCCCTGCCCATCCTTGGCCACTTGTTCTGCACCCGGCAAATGCTACCTTGTCCATTTGGGAACCCAGCTGGCCCAGGGAGCTGCCAATCTATAGTCACCCACTGCTGCCAGGGGCATCTAGACCCCCTGGAGACAACATACCTGCCCCGACGCACCCTGCATTGCTTCCCTACCCCCCAGGAACTGCCCTTCCCTGCAGTGCGTCTCTTCAAAATAGGCTGAAGAAAAATAATTCAGGTGAACCAAGTGTGTTCCTGGGGCTTTGCACTGTGATTTCTTTCTGGGAAGGCTTTTTATGCATGCAGCATGGGTCATCTCTAGCAGCTCCTTGCCATTGTTTTTCCAAAAACACCCTTTCTGAGCAGCTGGACCTTGTGCCCCCATGGACGATGCTTCATCACTGCTCCATTTAATCAAGCACTCTGTTTTGTAGTGGGTTTAGCTGGCAATGGCAGCAAAAGGCAGGTCTGGAGGCCAATGCTCAAAGCTGAAATCTTCCCAATGGAAGTCTCAAGGTAGAAGGATTTAGCCCAAGGACGGGCGTCACCTTCCAAATGTAGCAGCAGCAGTGGAACAAGTGACTCCCTCCCAATTTCCCAGTGCCCCCCATTGATGGGAACAGACAGTTCACAGCCCTCAACTGCAGAATATTATTTATCCCTTACCCACAGCTGTATCAGCTCTATCAGTTAAGTGTTAAAGTCTTAAATTTCTCCAGCTGCCTTGAACTGAACTGGCTCTAAAGATGGGAAGAGCACCAGGGTTGGTTGATGAGTTCCCAGGAGCTAAAGGAGGAGAGAGGTGCCTGCAGGTGAGGCAGAGGCAGAAGCACAGACAATTATTTGGCAATAAAAATTGATACCTCACAAATTTATTGCTCTTTTTGAAGCAGGTGGCAAGTGCATGGCTAAGGAAGATGTGGCATGTTGGTCTCCCTGAATTTCTGAAGGGGTTCGCTAAGGGCCAGCAAGTTCTTCAAGGAACTAAGCAGCCTCAGGAAGGTCCCACCTACACAGGTTCTGTGAGGACAGGAAAAAGGTGGGAGGGAGGGATTCAGATTCCAGAAGGAAGAATTTATCCTTAGGCTTGTGCTGATCAATGTATTCAACCAATCTGCAAAGCAGGGAGAAAAAAGCCAAGTGGCAAAAGTTGCTTATGAAAATCAGGGACTCACATGCTGATGGTCCTTCTACAGAACAACTGCGGGAGGAAATGCAGAGGGAATTCTTTGGAAATGTTTGCTGAATGCTGCTGATGGAGGAAACAACTGCATCTCTGTGTGTGCTGCTGGACTTGGAGCTGATTTTCCTCATGGAAACCTCCTCGGGTGAGGACAGACCTTTGAAGTGTTCAGCTCACGGATTGCAGCCATCAGGAAAACAAGCAGGGGCAGGGGGCCAGGGAGGGGCCATGTCCATGCAATGGGGCTCCCCAGCCTGAAAAGGAAACAATTTCCGGTGGTACGACCTGAGTGGCAGCAGGAAGCTCAATAAAGGCCAGTTATTCACTGTTTTTTAAAGAGGTGGCCTAGAGGCATCAGCCGATACCAGAAGCTGCAATGCTCAAGGCACAGAGGAGGAGGCAGCTCATCATGGGCTGGTCCTGAGCGTCTCCTTGCCACGGGCTGCTGCAGACTCTACAGCTTTCAGGGGCACCCTCAGCGCCCCACACCTTACCTGCACCAGCCTGCTGCTGCCAGACCCTTCCTCAAGACCACGCTGCTAGCCAACCTGCACAAAAAACAGCCCTGTAAATAAATTAAGTTGTTTTCAGCCTGTTTGGGCTCCTGATGCAACACCCCCAGGGTGGTCAGGGAGAGCCTGGGCAGGACTGGGGCAGTGGGGCTCGCAGAGAGGAACATGGCCAGTTCCTTGTGGTGTGGAGGCCCCTTCAAGTCATAGCTTTGCACGGTACAAAGTCCTTGAAGCAGGTTTGTGACAGATCTGGCTGTTCTACCTTCCCCCTTTGGCCACTGGCTTCAACCCTCCGGCTCGTGGAGCTAATCCAGAATTGTCTGCATAGACTGAAGGTGAACTCTGAAGACCAAGGTGCAGGCAGCATAACAAGTTTTTCAGGTAACGAATACATCAGCAAAAAACCCCAATGTACTACCCTATCTGACTGTCCATTCTCCAGCAAGACAAAGACGTAAAAACACCTAATTGCTTCCTTGTCCTTGCTCGCTTCAAAGCTCCTCTTGTTCCTCTGTTTCCATCAAGCTCAATCACCCCGTGAAATTGCAACCCGCCAGCAAGGACAATGAGGTGGCTGGGTGGCAGCGAGCTGAGCAAACAGTGGTTACACGAACCACTCAGACAGATCGGGCACCACCTGGTACCTGGCCACCGTGGTCTGCAAGAAGTGACAAGCTCTGCAGAGGTGTAGGCCCCAGCCCACCCCCGACACTGGTTTCAACCACTTGCGCCACTGGAAGTAGCGCTGGTACCTCTCAGCATCCTCGCTCAGCTCCCACAGGAACCGTGCCAGGTCCCCAGCGCTGGCGAAGTCGTCGACGTGGATGAAGGAGTCAGGGGGCAAGAAGCGCTCGTAGTTTTCTCGAGGAGGTCCCAGAACGACAGGGACGGTGCCAGAGGACAAGGCGTTCCTCCAGAGCTTCTCAGTGATGTAGTCCTCATGTCGCGAGTTCTCGAAAGCCAGGTAGAAGTTGTACTGGGACACAGTGGGAAGGAGCTTGTCCCAGGGCAGGGGCAAGTGATATCGCCCATAGACGTCCACAGTGATGTGTTTCTTCAGCTCCTGGTAGTACTTGACCCGGTGGGAGCCTGCTCTCCAATTGCTAACTACCCAGGCCACCAGCTTGGTCTTGGGTGGAATGCTGAGGGGCTGGGGCTGGCCAAGGAGCTGTAGCTCCCCATACGGGGTGAAGATGTCTGAGTCTCTCCGGTAAGACATGGTCAGGTTGAAGAGGTTGTCCATGGCATCTAAGTTTGGAGAGTGACTTGGGGATTCCAGGTTGAACCAGATCCAGCGCTGGGAAGGGACTCTGGGGAGCTGGGCCAGCCTCTCCGTGTCCTTACACACATCCCTGTGGTGCATAATCACAACATCGGCCTTCTGGGACCAACTGTGGTTGACAGTGAAGTGACAGTCCGGGGTCCTGTAGAGCTTTGAGCAGTTGATGAAGTTAAAGTGGTGCCCAAAGGGCCACTTCCACAGCAAGATGGTCAGCCTGCGTTCATTCTTGGGTGGGCCACTGGTGTTCCCAGCATGGGCTCTTTGTGGAGAGGGACTGGGACCGTGACGCTCTGGCCCAGAAATCTTGAACTGATGAAAAGACACAAAGAACCAGGAGCTGAAGATGAAGCTGAAGAGCAGGAAGGCGAAGAGTTTCTTACAGGAGGTCTTCTTCCCTTCCACAAGCTCCATGAATGGATCTGCAAATACCACAGAGAGGACACCGAGTGATGGGGGCACAGTGGGGGGGTGGCTCTGGGTGACAGGGGCTCAGGGGACAGCACGAAGACCTGACAGACACCTACCTCCAGCTGCCTCTTTGCAGAAGGAAAGGTCTCTGGAGTGCTGAACAGCCCCCCACCCACCGGGTGCCACCACCCCTCCGCAGGCCCCAGGCCTCCCTCCATCACCACTTGCTGCCTTTTCTCCTCAGCCCCATTTCCCAGAAGAGCTGCTGGCTGCCCATGGATGGTGGCTTCCTCAGGACACAAGAGTAGTGGCCTGCTCTGTCACATGGAAGCCTGTCACCTCGGGGACGGGAGAAGGGGCAGAAGTGCCACAGCCACCCCTTCTGGTTCACCCAGAAGCACAGCAGACCCAGACAGCCTCCCCTCTACTGATGCAGGGCTGCCATCTTGTTTTGGCTGCCATTTTATGGCAGGGTGCCACCATGGCGCAGCAGGGAGCTGCCCGCTTTCTGAGACAGGGGCCTGCCCTGTGACTGGCTGGCAGCCATTTCTGTGACACCGTCATACCCACGTGGCCCCGGGCAGCCCTGGGGCTGGCTGACAGGACTCGCCACTGATCATCCCCCAAGGGACACCACAAAAGGACCACCATGTCCTCCCCCATGGCAGACCCCACCTTGTGAGAGGTGAGAGGGCTGTTCCCCCACACGGTCTCAGACAGCCCTGTGATCGGCTGCCTGCCTCCTTTGGAACGGGAAATGCTCGTATAAAAATATATATACATTGATCTACTATATATATATATGTAAAATGTGTATTTTGTACTTCTATACAATATATAGAAGTATACATAAAGGAGTGTACAAACGTAATTTTTTTTATTTCAATATATATTCTATTTAGATATACATCAATATAGATATATATTATTCTATATATGTATAGGTGTGTATGTATTTTATAGATATTGACATATATTTATATACTTTATATATATATTTATAAAGCTATAGAGACTAAAAACATATAGCCATGAAAACACTGGTGAGGAGGCTCAAAGATTTAGGTGCGGAAAAGATCATCCTGATGGAGAAGGCAGGTGTAACTCAGCAATTCAATATGGGTTTTGCAGCACTGAGCTGGCCAGTCAGATGGTGTAGCGGTGGACCTGGCAATGCCAGGTTAATGGTTGGGCTTGGTGATCTTTAAAGATCTTTTCCAACCTAAACAAGTCTATGATTCTATATAAGATGGCCAGGCTGAGGTCCACCACTTTACCATGTCTAGGGTGGGCAGCAGCTTTTGGAGGACAGAGGGGTACCCAAAGGGTGGGGGGCACAGAGAAGTCAGCACATGCCCCAGGGCTGCAGACCCCTCCATGGAGGCCACCAAGTGTCCCCCACCACAAATCCCGTCACATGCAATGACAAGCCCCCCCAGCCCCATTTCCCAGAAGAGCTGCTGGCTGCCCATGGATGGTGGCTTCCTCAGGACACAAGAGTAGTGGCCTGCTCTGTCACATGGAAGCCTGTCACCTCGGGGACGGGAGAAGGGGCAGAAGTGCCACAGCCACCCCTTCTGGTTCACCCAGAAGCACAGCAGACCCAGACAGCCTCCCCTCTACTGATGCAGGGCTGCCATCTTGTTTTGGCTGCCATTTTAGGGCAGGGTGCCACCATGGCGCAGCAGGGAGCTGCCCGCTTTCTGAGACAGGGGCCTGCCCTGTGACTGGCTGGCAGCCATTTCTGTGACACCGTCATACCCACGTGGCCCCGGGCAGCCCTGGGGCTGGCTGACAGGACTCGCCACTGATCATCCCCCAAGGGACACCACAAAAGGACCACCATGTCCTCCCCCATGGCAGACCCCACCTTGTGAGAGGTGAGAGGGCTGTTCCCCCACACGGTCTCAGACAGCCCTGTGATCGGCTGCCTGCCTCCTTTGGAACGGGAAATGCTCGTATAAAAATATATATACATTGATCTACTATATATATATATGTAAAATGTGTATTTTGTACTTCTATACAATATATAGAAGTATACATAAAGGAGTGTACAAACGTAATTTTTTTTATTTCAATATATATTCTATTTAGATATACATCAATATAGATATATATTATTCTATATATGTATAGGTGTGTATGTATTTTATAGATATTGACATATATTTATATACTTTATATATATATTTATAAAGCTATAGAGACTAAAAACATATAGCCATGAAAACACTGGTGAGGAGGCTCAAAGATTTAGGTGCGGAAAAGATCATCCTGATGGAGAAGGCAGGTGTAACTCAGCAATTCAATATGGGTTTTGCAGCACTGAGCTGGCCAGTCAGATGGTGTAGCGGTGGACCTGGCAATGCCAGGTTAATGGTTGGGCTTGGTGATCTTTAAAGATCTTTTCCAACCTAAACAAGTCTATGATTCTATATAAGATGGCCAGGCTGAGGTCCACCACTTTACCATGTCTAGGGTGGGCAGCAGCTTTTGGAGGACAGAGGGGTACCCAAAGGGTGGGGGGCACAGAGAAGTCAGCACATGCCCCAGGGCTGCAGACCCCTCCATGGAGGCCACCAAGTGTCCCCCACCACAAATCCCGTCACATGCAATGACAAGCCCCCCACTCGAGGGCAGATTTGGGGCTTCACATGGAACTGCAAGACAGAGGCCACACTGCCTGAGAATGTGGGAGACCAGAACAAAATGCCAACTTCAGAAGAACATGGGTATGGGAAAAATAAGAAGACCCCCAAAAGATGACATGGACCAGAAGAACAGGGCAATGGGCCCATGGACACAAGCTGGATTTTGAGGTCAGTGTCATGCTGAGAAGGGTGGGTGAAGGAGCTGCTGTCCCTTTGGCTGTGGAGGACGTGACCTGTAAACCCTCCTGGTGTGCAGGCTGGTGCCATATGTGTTTCCTTGTCTTTTGGTTGATGACCTCATTGAGCATTTCAAAACAGCTTATCTGCAGTAATTAATGTCCTTGTGTGTGTGTGTTTTGTTTCAGTATCCTGTGAACAGTAGCCACAGCCTTCTCAGCACAGCCAGCTCCCATATCACCACTCCCTGACTTCCAACTGTCTCTCTCATAAACCAACCACCACAGGTTTCATCACTGGCATCCTGCTGGCTACTCCTCTGTACCAGGTAATAGTCATGGACTTTCAAGGTTTGCGACACCCCCCGTTGCTTTTACTGATCCACTCCAAGAGCATGGACCTGCTGCTAGTGTCCTGTTGTTTTAACAGGACAGTTGTGTTTGATTGCTGCCAACATTCACCTAAGAACATGGAAACCCACATAATACCAGCCTGCTCTCCACTGTAGTCATACAGGGAGCTGTAAGATCCCCCACAGCAACAGGATCTCCAGCAGAGCTGGTGGGTGCAGCACCCATCACTTATCTTGTCTATCAGTGGTACCTGTATTGATGACAGACACAAAACAGAGGGAAGCAATGGCTTCTGCAATCAGAGGTGAAACCAGATGATCACAGACCCCCTCCCTCCTGTACCCAGTGCCTCTCTCACAGCCCAAGTCAGGTTTCTCCTCCCATAGTTATCGGAAAAAGAAAGGACTGTTGCAACTCACCCCAAGGCTCAGTCCTGACGAGACAACGCACCATGAAGGTGAGCACCGAAGTGAGTGACACAACCAGGAAAAGAGGATAAGAAAGGAGAGCAGAGACGCAGGGAGGGATCAGCGGCGTGTTTCTCTGTGTCTTCAGCTGCGTGTGGCAGTTGCTACCACCAGACATATGTCACCCAGTAATAAAAGCTGTAATAAAGCCAGGACAGATTCTTCTTTGACAAATTAAGTAACGGTCAAATAAAGCAGCCCAGAGATTTATTGTGGTTAAAGCATACCTTACCACTGAAAGCACCTCCGCACGTGCACGTTTGCTTCCTTTCCCAGTCTCAGTCCACAAGATTTGCTTGTGATGTGGTTTCTTCTCCACCTTGTGTCGCAGGAGGACAGCTCTCTTTGGGAAGGATGGGAAAAGCTGGCACAGAGCGGAGGTGTAGGCATCAGGTCTGCAAGTCTAATGGGCTTCATGGCACGGCTGCCTCCACTCCCAGTCACCTTCCCAGCATCTCCAGCTAAAGCCCATCTTGGGACTGGTGACTTCAGCAATCACCATGAGCTTCAGAGCAGATGAGTGCTTGAACAAGACTGTCTGGGGGATCTCTTTGTGTCCAGGACCACAGATCACGCTTTGGAATGTCTCCAGCCCAGGTGAATAGGCTTCGCACATCACGGTCTGTGGACATGATGAGGTTGTTTGTTTGCTATGGCCGGAGCGAACTGATCTTGCAACAAGCTTGGCTGCACTTGGCTGGGATATAAAAAGGCCATTATGTATTATTATCAGGCTTAATTATATTCATCTGTAAACATGGATTGTTGGTCTGGAATTAAGCTCACAGAAAGAGCTTTAATGCAGGTTTGGAGTGTTTTGGGTGGGCAAGGGGATTGTAAGTGGGCCATACAGGGTGGAAGAGTTTGCATTTGTGGTCCAATTTACATTTCCTTCTATCAGCATGTGTGTGTTTCCCGGGACAGAGCTGGAAGTCACTTGAAGTGCATGCAGGTGTCTCCTGCAGACTTGGGAGCACTCCAGCACAGGTGAGAGCAAAAAATACACAGTGGCATGATGGATGAGGGCCATAACTCACAGTTTGCACACCCCAGGGTGACCCAGGCAGCCTGAGGTCTCACAGCTCCTCACCTGGACCAAGAAGGTACCAGCCCTTCAATTCCTCTGCCTAAAAATTCCACACTCGAGAAACTGTGACATCTTTCCCTTTCCCCATGGCACAGGCTACACCTGTACTAATAAGGGCTGAATTTAATTCAGCTAGAGGCTGAAATTTGGGATGGCCCATGGCCCAACTTTAGCATGATCCAGCTAGCTCCATGCCAAATGTGACCCAGGTGCAATCTGGGAGTTCCCTGGGGCAAGCAATCATTCCCTACAGGTAGTTTGCACTCCTTGGTGGCAAAGGGGTTTCTCCAACATGAAGATGGCCCAGCCAGGCTGGTTGCCCTCAGAAGAACAGACTCATCCTGCGAGAGTAGATGCAGTTATGAAGTTCGGACACCAGTCAGCTCTCCTGCTGAGGGCCTGTGAGCTCTGCAGGCAGCAGCACAAATGAAGACCATGCCCAGATGCAATTCTACTCCAGGGTGTGGAGGAGAAAGAAGAATTGAGTTTCACAGCACCATGGGAAGCCCTGAGTTGAAGGATCCTGTAGCACCAGATAAGAGGCTTCACACAGGTGGGAAATTCAAGACTTTTGTACGCCTGAAAACTAGGACCATAGGGAACTCAGAGGAGCTCAGAGGGTGTAATTACTGTAAATTAAACAAATGAGCAAGTGTGGGGAAGCCATGGAAAACAGTCACAAAGCTGTGGATTGAGTATTGTTCTGAGTGGCACATGTGGTACACAGTGACAGATTGCTTCGTCCCAAAGGTGATGTGAGATTGTAGCACAGACAGGACAAAGAGGCTGTTCAGGTAATAGGCTTGGCGGGACCAGATGCAGTTGACATGAAGACTTATTGTTGTATGATGAATAGCCTCAGTAATACCTACATCTGAAGACAAATAAAGCTGTGTTTTGGAGAAGCTTCCTGGTTACTGACCAGCAAGGGATGGTGGAGCTTTGGATGCTGAGCTCTCACCCAGGTGAGCACAGGAAAATGCAAGGGCTGAACGTCCCTTTGCTAATGGGGCAAACATTGCTCTCCCAGTGATGTCAGTGGGTGAGCAGCTAAGACCAGTCGCCTTCAAAGGGGTCACCAAACGCCGTTAGTCCACAGTGGATAAACCACAAGGGATTTGCACACACACTGGATTTGTCTATATTACAAAACAAACGGGCCAGAGACTAGTTCTTGTCCCTGAGGCCAAGTGGCTCAGCTTGACTCCCATCCCCACTGCTTCTCAGTCGACTGCAGTCACAGCCAGGCTTTTTGCTGGCCACGGTCCCTGCCCTGGGCTATCTTTGGACCATGTCTAGGTGCTGCTTGAAGGGCGCTCTTTGGCATGGGCTGAAATCCTGCCAAGGTGTGTGCAGTACAGTTGATAACGGGACAGTGTTTAGACCTGTGCCCTCACTCCATTTAGTTTCCTGTTGCATATATAACGTGAGGAAAAGCCATAGCCCAGGTCTACAGCTCAGGGGTGGGTTCTTGGAAGCATTTCTCTAACTAGACACCTTATCCTGAGAAAAGAGAGAGACTCCAAGAGGACAGAGCACAAACCTCACAGCCCCATCAGCAATGTATAGCTGCCAGTATCAAGGCATTTAGGTTTGCATTAAAATTAACTGGAAAAAGGTCTCTATGTATCTCCAATTCCTTTCAAAAGCTTCTACAGAGTCTACAAGGGAACAAGACTACATTTCCCTGCTCCAGTCACTTTGAGCAGGGGGAGGAATGCAGAATTCCTTTGTGAAGACTCACCAGGGAGCTCTGCCCGGGGCACTCACAGCTGCGGTCTCCAACTGATTCCTGCTCATCTCTTGGAGAACATTTTGTTGAGGCTTTCCAGGAACAAAGATGTTTTGGGAGATGATCGTCAATAGACAAATACCAGCATGGATACTGTGCTAATCCTAAACATGCAGCTTAGTTGGGTAGGATAGGTAGGTGTTGTCCAAACGCGATCTTTGTTGATGCTCCCCTTCATCACCCTCAGCCTTTTTGCCTGCACAGACATAAAAAAAGCATCATCAGACACTCTCAAGCTGCCAGATTTCTTTTGTGGGCTTCCAATATAAGGGAGAAGGATCAGGGAGATGGAACATGGGAGATGGGAGGGATCCAACGCCCAAATGTACAACAGGTCCTAAGATGCTGAGCATGTTGTTCGTGCCTCCTTGTATAACCACGTGCCCTGGTTGGCCTCCAGCAATGGATTTCTCATCTTCTAGGCTTGATGCACCTGATGGCAACAGCAGAGAAGAAAGATGCAGCCACCAAGAACAAATTTAGCAACGTCTGGTCCAGAGCAGGGAGAGTGGGATGGGAGTGCAGGGTTGGCACTCAGCACTGAGCAACCCCAAACCCCGCATCCCCATAGCCATCTGAGTCCCTGGTGGGCCAAGCCTCATCACCAATGTCTCTCTCAAGACCACCCCATGATTTTGCTCTGTCTATGTTATATCACTAGCCCTGTGCTGGGACCACAGCTCCTACTAGGGGCAACACCACCCTTTGGCATGAGTCCGACTCCTTGGGGGACCTCAGGCCAGGCAGGCCCACTGGTGCTCCCTACGGGCTCCAGCCACCAGCAGAGTGGCAGGGAGCGGTGCAGAAGGGTTCTGAACTGTTTGTATTCCCAAGAATGTGCTATTTCCTTCCAGAGGAGAAAATAAACACCACAAAACCAACTTGTGTTGCACCCAGACCTGAACCACGCCAGAGGGATGCCAGCACTAATGGCCCCACTTGCCCAGGCCACGTTCACACACAGCAGTGAAAGGCTGCAGCCTTCTTCTGGAGAGGAAATAAGTTATTTTTTTCCCCATCATCTCTAGGAATTAGAGATTCTATGTGTCTTCAGCATGCCCAAGTGCATCTGTAAATTCAGCAAAAAACCCTGTTCCCTGTGACAATTTATGCTCCCCTCCCCAACTCAGCAGCAGCCCAACACGTGGTGTGCTGCTCCCATCCCAGCTGCCTCCATCCTGCCCATCCCTTGAAATCATCAAGCATCTTTCCCAGGTCAAGAGCCAAGATCCTACATTTCTCAGCATTTAGTAACCAGCATGTGATGGCGTCAGGGTAGGATTTCAGCCACTGCAAATAGTAACACCTCTGAAATCCATCTTGGTACAAACAAACGAAACAGACAGACCCAGATACTTAAGTAGAACAAAAGCTACATGGGAACATAGAAACTTCCCTGGTGGGTGAGGAGGAGGCTGGTTTTTAAAATTGATTATTCCTAGCGCACATGCAATCTGAGTGCTGCCAAGCGGCAGCTTTCTTCTTTAAAAACACACAAACCCATCCCATGCCAGGCCTGGAGAGAGGAGAGGAAAGAGGGAACAACCATACTCTTGGCTCTGGGAATTTGCTTTTCTCAGCCTTGCAGAACTAGGTGGTGAGGACAATTTTCACCATCCCTTGAGGACTTTTTCAGGCTGTGCCTGGATCTCCCAGATGGCTTTTGAACTAAGGGAAAATTGCTGTGAGATTTGTTAGTGCTCATGGTGTTCCAACAGTGGCTTCAGCCCCACTCTACACTCTTCAGCCCCAGTCTACAACCAACACCTACAAAGTGCCCAGGATCTATATGCTGGGTCCCACCATGAATCTGCTGACTGGAGCTCAGCCAACAGCTTCCAATTAGTTTCATTATGTCTACACTTCTGTTCCCATTCCCACCCCAACCTAGACTCTTATAAGTACATCCTATAAGGATATGGGCTGGAAAAAAGGGTACTATGAAGTTATATCCACAGCTGCACCGCAGCCCGGGAGCAGGGGGCTCTCTTTGTTGAAGATGTTATGAATAAAATATCAGTGAATTTGGAATCCCACCATTTCATTCTTCAGTTTGGTTCTGGTTTGCTTTTTGCCACCTCTCCTACAGAAACGTGGTCTGTGACAGTGCTGCATTTGTTGTTTTGCCTGTCCAGCATCCACACTCCTGCTGGTCCCCTGTGTCCCATGTGCCTGCCTTCCCACCACCTCTCCTCTCGTGTGAAAAGTCCTGCAGGAGTCTCACCACTGCTATATCTTCACTTTCATCTTCACCTCTTCTCTGCTGTTTGTTTTTTTTTTTTACATCCAACACAGAGGCTTTCCAAGACGGTTTCCACTGGGGAAAACAACATTTGACCACCTCTGTGTTCAAAGCTACGCTCAACATCTGGGGAAGGCTCAGGGGAGCTCACAATACAAGGGATATTTCATAGGCTTATACTTTTTAAGACCAGGAAAGAACACTCCATCCTCCAGCTGGGCCTGGAAGGACAGCATCCACACCGGGACCAGCTGGCTAAAACACACCATCCCAGGAAGCATCAAGGTGGATTTGGAAGCTTTTTGGCTGGCTTTAAAATTCAGCAGGTGAGGATCCGAGCTCTGGTTTTTTCCCCTTTCTGAAATCATTCCGCACCCACTGCTCTCATCCCTCAACGTTAAGAATGTGCTATAACCCAGCCACGAGTGTGGATCGCAGAGCAGAGCATGTCAAGACATTTCAGAGGCAGCTCCGACGCTACCTATAGCCCTGCCATCGCCCCAAGCCCCCACTTCAAAACAGAAGGTAGATAAGATATTGCCTGCTAATGGCTTTCCATATAAATATTAGGACCTTCCCTCTCAACCAGTTTACTCTGTGCACTGACCCCCTCACTGGGGTCACGGGGAGTGGGAAACTGTGGGAGGTCCCCAAGTTTTATAAATGAGAGGGTTTCCCTGCAGAGACACGTACCATGAGGCACCCGGGAGCCCAAGACACTGATTAATGGTACCAAGAAGGCCTGTTGTAGGGGAGCAGCGTCTGAGCAGCACTGTGGAGGGATTACCAAGAGATTTAGCAGTTCAGGTGGATTAAGGGTGATTTGTCAGTTGTCTGCTGTGGGTCTCCACAAAAGAATAAAAAATTTTAAAAATGGCGAAGGGCTGAAAATAATTTAGCATGAGAGCAGGAGAGAAAAAAAATGGTCATTCCCTTTGGGTTTGATGAAGTTGAGGTTTGAATGTTGGTCCAGGTACCTAATACGGACTGATGGGTGGATGGATGGTTGGTCTGGGTGAGGTAGAGGTTACCTCCAGCAGCAATGTGCCATCTCCTCTGCTGCAGCATGTGCAGCTCAGTTATAGTCACTGTGTGGGCAGGACCCTGGTGTCTTGGGGCATGCGAAGACAAGTTGGAGCTCCCCACATGAGAGAAAATGACTCAAAACAGAGAAGAGGAAGATTGGGTCTTACCAGACACTGGTCACACCCTTGCAAAGCATCCTTTGGAAAGGCTGAGCTGCACCCTCGAGACAGGCTGCCTGCAGCTGATTCCAGGTCTCCAGCTGCACACTTTGGTTGCCAGAAGAAGGCAAATTTGGGTAGTGACCCCCCATATGTGCAGCATTTAATTTTTTCCAAGAGAATTAAGGGGAGGGTCAGGAAGGGGAAAATGTAATAGACAAGTGGCTGTAAATGTAACTGGTGAAATTGTAACGAAGACCATACTAGAAACACATCTCTGGCTTCAGAGGAAATCTAGATAAACAAATAAAGGTGCAGCAGTAGGACCACAGGTCTCAGATTGCAACACAGGACACACCGCTCTATAATTTGATTCTTGCAGGGGGGCACAATCTGGAGTTCCCCGAGCGTGCTTGACTCAAGTGACTCCTTGAGCTTTTCCTAAGGATGAGGCAGACGTGGAAGAGTCAAGAAGGCAGTGAGCCGCCCTCCCCTGGCTAATGAAAACCAGCACCCAGCCAGGATTTGTCAGGAAAGCACAAACCAACCCCTGATGGAACGGGAGGGACTCAGGGAATGGGGCTGGGAGAGTGCACTCCCACACCGTGGCAGCTCCCAGCTGCCATCATCTGCAGCCTTGATTAAAACACCATTTCTCTACAGGGTTGACAAGTCCATGATGAGCACCATGGGGCCCAGCTTCTAAAATCCTGCTCAAAACCAGCTGCAGTATCCACCAGGAGATGCCCTGGGAAGGCTTTGGTAGAGCCAAGGATCAGCCAAGGCGCCCATCCCACTTCCTGAGATCTCATTTGGGGCCAGCCAGGGGGCTCTTTTTCATTTATTTTAAAAAGATTCATTTGGGGCTGCAGCGAATTGGGCTGTTTTGTTGTTTATTTTTGCATTGTACTAGGCTGCCCTCAAGTTTCTAAATGGAAGTCACTTCCAACTCCAAAATGGAAAATGTTCCTCTTGCCAATGGGAAAAATGCAAACATTTCCATTGTGGCCACACAGGTTTTTTTTGTCCCTGCCCCACTAAAACCTTTCTGTGTTGAGAAATCCCTCTGCAATGACCCTTGGCTTGAAAAAAAGGGTTCAAACCTTCAAAAAAAGGGTTCAAACCAGCCTTTCCAAAAACAGCTTCCCAAAGCCAAAGCTCCAGGTGCCTGCTCCCAAGATAACCACGTCTTTGCAGAGCCTGAGGTGGTGCCCATCTCAGGCTTGTATCAGGAATAGGACAAAACTCAAGGAAAACACAAGAGCTAACAAGTAACACATTTTGTTAGTATTTGGCCACCGTTGATTGAGAAGGATGGACGGCCAAGAGGAAATCTGAAGCTATTTTCACCAGTAAAAAATACACAGTGGCCACCTCACTTTTCTGCTTACAGGTTGACCAAACCACTCTGATTTTCAATGCGCTGACTGCCACCGTTGATCTGAACCAAGCTTCCTAGCCCAAGCGGGGCCCCGTATGCAAGCCCCTCCCTGAGGACCATGCTCGGAGCTGGTGGCCACATGGAAGGAGGTTCAGCTGGTTCCCATCCCCGTCCTCCAGCAGCTGCCCCCAATGAGCTCCAGATGTGGGACTGGGTGTGGAGGGGCGCAAGGCGCTGGGCTGGAGGAGGAAGGCGGAGGGAGCTGAGGCTACTGCTTTTATCTCTTTTGCTTTGTTTATGAAAAGAGAATTAGCGCGTGGTTGCCAACAATTTATTCTGGCAAGGGTGCTCCTCCAGAAATACTTTTACTGCCATCACAGTGAGCACCCATGGCTCGCCTTCCATTGGCTTTCTCACCACCAGCCAGGTCTGCGGAGACCTGAGATGGAAGAGTGGACACTAATTGATGGGAAAGCTGCTGCTTGAGCCCATCCCAACCTCTCACACCATGGGTGGGTGGCCGAGCGGCCAGGAGAAGCTGCGAGGAGAGCAAAGCCCACTCTGCTCAACCATCTTCCCAGAGGTTTCTCCTCCCCGGGCACAGAGGATCCAGCTGGCTTTGTCTTTGGGGTACCTCAAAAGCTGCAGCATTTGAAAGGATGAGGGGAAATGGCTTTAAACTGAAAGAGAGGAGATTGAGATGAGATCTGTGGAAGAACTTCTTTGCTGTGAGGGTGGTGAGAGCCTGGCCCAGGTTGCCCAGAGAAGCTGTGGCTGCCCCATCCCTGGATCTAGAGCAAAACCTCACCCTCTGAGTGCTTCAAACGATACAAGTAGTGCCCTTGGGTGAGGAGCTCACCTGTGCTGCTGTGCCGCTCATGGACGTGTTTCTGGAGAGCTCTTCTGGATCTGGGGCAGGGTGGGAGTCCAAAAACTGGAAGAAGCTGAAGCCCCATTTCCCAGCAAGATGGGGTCGGTGTTTTTTTCCTCCCAGCACTGCGTAGGCCTGCTGATAGATAATTGGATTAGGAGCGAGCCAGCATCTGCTCAAGGTTATTTATTGCTTTTAAGAGGCGAGCTTTATTTGGAATTATTTTTGTCTTATCTTATTTTTGGTGCCTGCATTGGGTCTGAGTTATGGAAATGTCCTGGACACACCAGCATCCCCTCTGTGTGGTGTCAAACGTTTGCCAGGCAAAGGCAGCCCTGTGTGAGCCCCGGGGAGGCTCTGGCAGCCAGCTCTGTCGCTGAGGCAACCATCCTCCCGCCTTCTCGCACCGGTCCACTGAGCTGTTTGCCAGCATTACCGCTTGTCACCCTCCCCAGGGAAGGTGACATGGGGCAATGAGCCCCATGGGGAATGCTAGCTCCCACTGCGCCTCCCTTCGTGTGCCACCAAAGATTTTCAGGAGGAATTCCTCTTGCTCCATGCACCTACTGGTGTTTCAGATGTGTTTGGTGTTCTCCAAAGCTTCTGCCACTGCTTTACAGGCTCTTTGAAAGCCGGTTTTGTACAAAATAATAAAAAAAAAAATCATAGCTGGATTGGGGACAGATGGCCGGAGCTGTCAGGCAGGGCAGAGGGCTGTGCACACCCTGGTATACCCCAGCTCCTGCTCTCACGTCGTCTGCAGAGAAGCCTCCCCGTCTCATCTCAGACGCTCTCCCACAGCTCGTGTTTGGCTGGTGACCTGGCTTCGATGGGGTGACCCACAGCTTTGGTTTTACTGTGCTTTTGTTTTCCAGGGGGAAGCTCATGAGGTTCTTGACCTGTTAAAAAAAAAAAAAAAAAAAAAAAAAAAAAAAAAAATAAAGATGTGCCTTGGCTGGTGACCTGGCTTCGATGGGGTGACCCACAGCTTTGGTTTTACTGTGCTTTTGTTTTCCAGGGGGAAGCTCATGAGGTTCTTGACCTGTTAAAAAAAAAAAAAAAAAAAAAAGAAATAGAGAAAATTAAAGTGTCACCTTCCTGCCAGCTCCTTAGTTACAGTTTCAGCTACATCTGCACGTCTGGGTCTGAGCTGCCACCCATGGGTGCTCTCTCCAGGGCAGGTGGTTGTTCCAAACAAAAGCTGGGTGAGGCCAGGTTTGCCCCTGCATTCACACGGCCACAGTGGCAGCAAAGACTGAACTCTGAGCCAGGGAGGTCTCCAGTGTCCCCTGTGATGCTCTGACATGGTCCCTGCAGCTGAGGACTCAGCCCAGGTCTGCCTCCAGCAGCCCCAGCACAACCAGTCCCTGCTTTCACAGGCAGCATGGGCCACTTGGATGTTTATCCCTCCTCGTTGCCCTGCCATTTCTGGAGAAACAAGCTCTCCTGGCAGCCAGGGGACACAGGGAGAGGAGAGTCCAGGCTGGATCCAGGCACTGGACTCTTCGACTGGCAGCAGAAACATATGCATGTAATTTCCCAGTGCACAGAAACACCCTTTGGGGCTGTCCTCTTTACAGAGGCATTTTCCCCTTACTTCATTAATCTAAATATTGAGGATTTTTTTTTCTTTTTTTCCCCCGCAATTCAGCTGCAAGCCCTTTTCCACGATGCTGCCGCACCACTGCTGGGAATGAGCTGGGCCAGGAGCCACCCCTACTTCCCCAGGAGGCTGGGCCAATATTTTTTTACTCATTGTTATTCACTGCAACTCTGCCAAGAAGGTGCTCAGTATTTTACAAGCCCCACAAGAGCCCGTCTGCCCGGAGATATGATTCAGGACAGCATCTTGCACAGGCTGGCATCAACCCAAACATTTCTGATTTAAGCCTATCTGTTTGGAATGGGATTAAGCAGAAATAAGCAGCTGTTTTGCAGAATAACAATGAGAGCGCAGGATCCGCACTCTCACTTGGCTCAGCGAGAGCTTCCCAGGGAGACGGGTCCTAAATCATAGCCAGGGGAGTCCATCCCGCCGGGAAATCCTTCCCCGGCACCGGGGAGGTTGAGGCAGCCATTTGGGTGGGGGGCATTGCGATGGGTTTGTTTGGGTTTTTGTGGTTCCCCCTTGCTCCAATTGGATTTTAGCGGAAGTATTTTACAACCCTTAAAAAAAAAAAAAGCCAACAGCCACCACTAAAGCACATTTTTCCTCCTGGGAAGGAGGATCCCCTCTCCCTGTCGGGGAGGGCAGAAATGGTGGGAGAGAGGTTTAGGACACGGCTCTCCGAGGTGCCATGGGAAGGACTGAGCTGGGCTCTCGCTTCGGAGAGGACTCTGCAGTGGTAACCGAGCTCAAAGAAATCCCTGGGTGATGAGGGGGTGTCATTGTTACCCAGATTTAAAGCAGCTTTGATGCAGTTGCGGCACTTGGCTTTGCAGGGGTTAAAGCAAGCAAAGAGAAACTCTGTGCTGGGTGGGTGTTTGGGTACTCACAAACATCCTCCAGGCAAGTTGGGTTCCTCAGTGTCAGCTGAGCAAAGGTAATGGCCGTGGCTTTCCAGAGCTCTGAATGGGGTTACACCAAACCCCATCACCCGAAGGGGCCAAGGACACACAGGGTGTTAAATTTAGTAACGTGATGTTATACAGTGAGGCCTTGCCTGAGCATCTCCATCGGAGGAGCATCTCCAAAGAGGCTTCCTGCAGCTCCAGGGGCTGAATCCAGCAGGCTCAGTTGCTGCTGAGAACTGGGGTGCTTTTGGCTTGGGCTATTCCTGAATAAACCAACAGTGGAGCAGCATGAAACTACAAAGAAGAGAAGCTGTTACTGCAAAAGCTGGAAAATGCCAGTTCCCACAGAGCATGAAAGACCTGAATGATGGAAAAGCAGCATCTTTCTTTAAATATCTGGCTATAATTGTTAGTGCCTTGGTCTGCTCTGTATCGCTACTGGGAAAAGCTCATGCCAACCCCAGACCATCGCCTGTACGTACATCTGTGGTATCGGAAGGCAGAGGCAGAGCTGAAAGAATAAAAACCCTTTGGAGGGGAAAAATATATCTTCAGATTGTCAGCTGCACTCACTCAAAATCAGTTATAACCTCCCTCCACATGTGGTGGAGTTTTAATGAATTCCCCCTCCCCCACCCAGGCTGGGCTGGAACCCAGTTCACACCAGTGGAGGGTGTTTCTGAGGCTGCTCCCCGGGTGCTGCTGCCTGACGTCATGGACACACTCCCCCGTCCAGGTCCTGCACAGCCTCTGCTGCTGTTCATGCTCCCAAAACAGGGCCAAGACGCTTCTCCTGCTGGCGTCCACGGCTGCTGGGTGTGGGCTGCGCCAGCTCAGGCCCTTGAGGAGTCTCAAGTTTTACTGGGGGATAAAAATGTGGGTAACTGGGAGCAGAAGACAGCACATGATGTCTCTTCTCTTCTACTTTTTTTCATCCCCTTGAAAAATGTTGAAGAGTAAATAGTTACACACAGCTCTGTCTTCACAACGTGCTGCTCACAGCGGTTTTTCTCTTCCAGTTTGGGGGATGTAACTATTTTGCAAAATACATCACCAGCCCGTGGCCAAGGATGCTGTTTTACCTCTCAAAAATATCTTCTGGTCCAATGGCCATGTCTCCAGTGAGCTTAAAACAGCATCGTGAGCTCTGCAGGCTGCAGACACCTCCCTGAGTCACACCAGCAACTAAAGGCACTCAGTTCTTCCCCCGGAAACCGAAGGACCCTCCAGAAAGCCCCTCTGCCATATCCCTCTTGCCCTGAATTCATCAACTTGCTTCTCTGGTAACATGCTCTCTTGCATGTCATCGGTAAGGAATTTGTGCTCCGTTTGATAATGGGAGATGAATGGGTGCAGCAGCAAAATCCTCAGACCACAAAGCATTTCAGCAGGTCTTTTAAGCCTCCTGTGTAGGCTGTCCAAGGACCCGCTCATTCCCGGGCATCCCCGACCCCACTCATAAATCAAAGCATTCCAGTCCTGGTTTCCTCTACGCGTCCATGAACACTCACAGAGGTTTCTTCTTTAGCAAACTTAATCTGGGCAATTGTTCAAAAATGTTAAAATTACCTGCTCCTTTTATGATATAATGACAGCCGTTGGAAGCATAATTTAGCCCAGACCTGAAGATGTCTGTTTTAAGGTTAAAAAGTCCTCCAAGCTAAACTTTATCCAACAGCAATGATGAAAAAATCAACTTGTCCGGTCTTAATTTTAGTTCCTCTCATTAATGAAGCCATGGTAGCCTTTGCTTTGTCCCAACTTCACTTATTCACGTCAGGGTCTAATTGGTTTCATGGCACCAGATCCCAACAAGGATTTAAAATGACCAAGTTACTGACCTAACTTGATTCCCATTGCCTTCATCTGCCCTTCCCTCATGGAGACCCTCCGGCTTGAGTCTTGCCTGCCAGGAGCCTCACAGGATGTTCTCAAGATCATAGTTCAGCCAAGGGTTGGACAACAGGTTAATTCCACCAAAACCTATCTTTCTTTACCATTGGCCATGCATCACCACAAGGTCCTTTAAAACCTTACATGAAAAGGTCTCAAGGAGATCTGATCCACAGATCAGTGAATAAACACAATAGTTAAGGGAATACATAGCTCTGCTCTGGAAGGATGGTGTCTGTTGGTACCCACCTACCCCAGAGATGTGCCCAGGAGCCCCATCCCCACGCAGGTCCTGCTCCCCTGAAATCAGACCCTGCTTCACCCCTCAAAGCACTCAAAATCCATGGTCAGTGATGGATGTTGGCTGGGACTCCCCGAGGAGCCCCTTGAGTCCCTCTGGCTCCAAAGAGAAGCAGGAACCAGCCCCACGTGCTGGAGCACACCAAGTACTCTGGGTGCTAATGTTGACTTCTGGCTTGTTTAACCTGCACGTCTCTGCTCAAGCGGATCTTGGCAGCCCCAGGGAGCAATGTTCTCATGTGCCATCAATGCACAGTGATGCCTGGCCTATCATGGCTCCTTCCCATCATGGTATCTCCAGGGAAGCCCAGCACTCCCACACAGGCCTGTCGCAGGGAGAGGGTGTGAACCAGGCCGCTGCTCTGACACAAGTGCAGGGGGAATAACTCTTTCCTACTGGGATAAAGAGGTAAAACCTGATAATCCAGCCCATAGGGGATAGAGAAGGGTATTCCTGTGCTGTCGGGACAGCGGATGGGTTTTACATTAACATTCCCCCCTTTCTCAGGCCACCCCAGCACAGTGTGGGGTCAGTGTTGACCCCAGTGCCCCACTTGTCCAGGGACCCGGGGGCAAGTGTCCCAAAGGGATATGGTGACAACCATGGGTAGCAAATGACATTTACCTAGTTATCTCTTAGCCTCCCCTCCAGGCAGCACATCCTTCTCCAGGCTCATGGTGCCGATGAGCAGCAAAGGAGGTTCCCAGAGACACCCTTCAGTGCCTGGTGTCCTGTGTGGCAGTGGCAGAAGGGAATCGCTCGCTCGCCGTCTGAAGGGGGGTCCTACAGAAACCCCCCCAAGACGTGGGTCCGGGAGCCCCAGCTGCTGCCGGCAGCCTGTCCTGCACAAAATGCCTCAGATCTGTGTCCAGCACAGCAGGAAAGCCCTCCAGGGGGAGATTTCACGCCATTCTACTGTTTTGGATTAGACCCCAGCTGCCTCTTGAGCGGTTTAAATTTACAGAGCTCAGAAGCAAACTTTCCACCCAGGCAGGGGCTTACCCAGACGAGGGGCTAAGCAGAGAGCACTGGGTTCAACGCCCCTCTGAAAACAGCCAAGGGCCCATTACAGATCTGATTCCAGCCAGCGTCAATCAGAAAAAAGACCCTCTAGTTATTAACTGCCCTTCAGTTTACTCTCCTTTGCATCCTGGATGCACAGAAACACATTGGAAATGTATGTTGCTTTTGGAAAAATGCCTTGCCATGGTAAATGATCCCAAACCAACATCCGTGCACCAGCCCCTGGGAACCGAGGTAGAACCCTTTGCATTTAGGCCTGCCAGGGTTTCATTTAAGATTTTTCTGCCTCCCAGCAGAGAAATCCATCAGGAGTCCATGTTACAGTGAGAAAACCTCACAGGTTTGCATGGGAACCTATGGGTCCCGTACACGAAACAGCCATAGCACAGGGGGCTTTCAGCACTTTTCTGTTAGTGAAATGGGGATGAACAAGGATCTTTTCTCCCAGTCTATTAATTTTGTTAAGGTTAGGGTTGCTTCCTTTTCCCTTACAGACATTGGCTGCTGGAGATGAAGAGCTGCTGGTGGCACCTCTTTGCAGACCGTGTCCATGTGCCTGGCACCCTCCGGCTCTCAGCAGGAAGCCAGGGAGACCCAGGGAAAGAATATCTTCTGGTATTGAGGCCATTTTTCTGTCATAGCAAACCAACCCATGAAGGGGGAACAGCTTTTACATCCCAACCACATCCACTTCTTTAACCAGTTTCTCCATTTCTCCCAATTTCCCCAATCAACCTAAATCAGAGATTAACCTCTACCTGCTGGTCCAGCAGCATTTTACCCCTACCTGGAGGGCCAGTATCTGTAGAAAGGCAGACACACACCATCGTTGGGCTCAGTCAGGTGCTAAGGAACAGGGGCAGCATCCTAGGGAAGGCAGACTCACCCCAACATTCGCCCTGAACTCACAAGACCACCACAGGCTCCCACTGAACGTCTTCTCCCCAGCAGAACCTCTCTGCAGGTTTTTGACAGGAACATTCATTTCTAGCACAGTCCAGTTGTCTGAGGGGAAAATTCCCAGGGACAGGAGGATGTAGATAGGCCAAGAATGTAGACAGCTCCAAAACAGGATTAGACATTTCTGTGGATGTCAAGAACGGCTAGAGTTAGTACAATTAACGATAACCATCTTGGCCAAGATAGAAACTGAGTGCAGGACTCCCAGCAGTACCCATCTGCTGGAGACTAAGACAAGAGCATCTCCCCTGTCTCTGCACGTGACATGTCTCTTCCACTGTCCCTTCAGGGAAGGTCCTGGTAGGACGCCGGCTCTGCCCCAGCCAGGAAGCTGCAGAGAGCAGAGAAGGGAAGGGGCTGGCCAGGCAGGGGGAGCCAGGATGGGGCAAGCGAATACTCACAGTGTGTGCCTTTCCCTTTGGATTTGGATCCTGGGCAACTCACAAGTTCAAAGCAGAGGCAAAGGTGCCTCCACACCCATGTCTTTTATTCTAGTGGCCTTGTTGGAAATCCCATGATTTCTAGCACAATCTCACAACTATTCCATCATTACTTGCTCCCCACTTGTGACGCTTTAGCAGGTAAAGGGGGGTACATCCCCACCACCCCCCAGCTGCCACGCAGTCACCAACCTCACCAGCTCCAGCCTCGAGGGAGCGCAGCCGGAACCGCAGTGCTCTGCAGGCATCTCCCCCAAATTGCTCCCATGTGGGTGCCCCGGCTCCAGCAGCCACCCGGAGCCCTAAGTGCTTCCAGGCTGGAGAAGCCCTGGCTGCTGCTTGGCGTCACTCATGCCGGTGAATGGGATCCAGCGTCTCCCTGCTGCCTGCACAAGCACACTGCAGATGTCCCAGAGGGAATATTACAGCCTTCAGTTACCCAATTAAAAACTTGTTTGAGGGGATTTGATTATTCAGTTTGACAGAGAGAAGAAAACCCTCTGGGTCCTAGCAGCAGCGAGGATTTATGAGCTAAGGCTTTGCTTCAGGTCGCTCTGCCTGATCATGATATGTAGCAAAGGAGGGGGGGAAAAAGAAAAAAAAAAACAACAGTGGTGTCTGCATTCCTGCTGCTTGAATCAGATGACTTTCCTGGCAGCTCCAGTCCCCGCTGCCTCCAGGGAAGGTACAGCCGAGGGCAGGATGCTCTGGAGCAGGTCTCTGCCATTCTGCACCAAGGACAGCCTTGACATCCCAGAAAGCCACTTCCTAAACCAGCTCCTCTCTCCCTCCCCTCTCCCCCAGGCAGGGGGTGTAAATGCTTCCTCATCACTTGCAAACACCTCCTAGGGACCCCAGCGAATGCTTTCACCACAGTTTGCTGAAGGGCAGAATCTGCCTTTTTTTCCGCTCCAGGGTGAACACAGGCCTGGCATTAACCCTGCTGTCAGGGGGCTATCCCTACTCCTTGGGCACCCCTCGGCTCCCCCCACCCCGGCTTCTTCTCCCTGTAAAAGCATCACTCTCAAGTTGGGAAATGAGGGAAGACAAATCTCACAGCTGCCTGCCTTACTGCAGCGTGTGAACAGCATCCAGAAACATCTCCAGACAAGATGATTACTAACAAGGGATTTGGGATCATGTATATTTACTGCCACAGCAGTGATTGGGGAGACATGTGGCCACCAAACTGCAGTGTGGGCTCGGAAGAAGCCAGCCCGGGGCTGAACATCTCCCTCAGGGCTTCAGGAGCATCCTCCTGCTCACCTTCCTCACCTGCTTCAGGCCACGGTGAAGGACAAGACGCCAAGTTAACTGTGCTCTCACCTCTTCCTCACTCACTTTTGTGCATAGCACCAAAGTGTCTGGTGTTTCTCTTTAAGGCAGTATTAAAACAAAAGGAGAAAAAGTTATAAGTTATTTCAAAGGTCTTTGCTTCAAAAGCATTCAAACCAAATTTACGCACCAAGTGTTCCTTTTATTGTACAAACAAAATAACCCTCTGCAATACGATTCCTCTAAATTTATGGTTCTTCCAGAGCTACTAATTCAACCCAGGTCTTTTCTTCTTTTTTTTCTTTCTTTTTCTCCCCACCTTAACTCGAATAATTCATAAATACTTCACGCTGGAGTGTACTTTATGAGCATTATTATGATCACTTGAATGAGGAAATGCCTGTGAAGTTATTATAATAGTTTTAATACACCACAGACTCTCCAGCGGTATGGACAACGAGGTATAAAGAAACTTCATAGCACATCAGAGGGAAGAGCTCTCTTGAGGGGCCATTTATCTGGCCAAATAATAAGGATTCCATAGCCCATATATGTCTCTGAAGCAAGTCAATGACAATATCTAGGCCGAGTTTTGGTTTGCCACACTCCGGCTGAGGAGGGTTATGTGCATCTCTGGCCAGACTGAGACATGGCTTAGGTCCACAAGCCTCCATACAATTTTCAGACCCAAACCCAGAAAAAAAGAAGAATAAAAAAGAAAAAAGAAAAAAAGTTCAGAGGCGCATCATCAGAGCCATCATAAGCACATTTAGAAGAGCGGGTAACTTACTTGAAGTCCCCAGGGACACAGGGAAGCACAGATAAGCCAAATTCCCCTCATCAGGAAGCAGACACTATTTTTCCTGTTATCCTTTCACATATCACAGGACGGCATGTTGCTGAAAGGCAGAAATTAAGAGTCACAAGGCTGTATTCCCTCAAAGACATAGCTGAAAACCATTGTTTTCTTTAATGTAAAGAGGCAGAACACTACAGCTATTAGACTACACCTACATGGAAATAGGAACTCATCAAATTTAAATATATTTTCCAGGGTCACTGAGCCATACGGGGCCCTTCCTCAGGGTATCTCAAGGAAGCAGCTTTGCACGTGCTTCCAGATTCTGCATTTCTCCTCCTCATTCTCCCATGTAAAATGGATCACTGGGGGCAACCACGGCCCCAAAAATCAGGGGGAGCATGTTTGAATTCCCCGAGAGGTCCTGTAGGATGGCAACCCCTCCAGCACCCAAAAACCAGCTGCCCCATGACCTTCCCCAAGACCACCCAGAAAGAGCTGCAAAAAGAGCCCTCAAGTCCTGCCTGCCTCTGAACCACCACCACTCCCCAGGAAATCAGTCTTTTTGTCTTGTAAAGAACTCCTACAGTAATTGCCTTCATATCTCAAAGGTGTCTTACAGCCACTGAGGTGCAAATATTTATCCATACTTGGAATTGCAGAGTGAAGCCTCACTAAGTGTTCCCAGACACTTCAGCAGTTGTTGTTTTAAGACCTGAACCATAGACACCTGGCTGGAATTAATCAGCAGATGTGAGCATGGAGGCAGAGCAAAGCCCTTATTAACCCTTCACACATCAATGTCAAGGTCATGGGGAGTTTCGATGGGACAGCCAGTACCTAGATGTCAGCTGTCAACAGTTTGGGAATCCCAGGGGAAGAAATGTTCTCCACTGATCAGGGCATGAACCGGTAGCAAAATCTATCACACTCCTGTCACCGCTTGAAGACTTGCTGCGTTGAGGCACTCGCTTGTGAATAACTGCAATAATAAATGTTTATTACTAGATAATAAAACACAAGAGCAAATCACCTGCTGGATTGTCTGAAACCCACCTGCTGAGTTGTCTGAAATCAACAGGATTTTAAGCATCAATTTAAGGGAGAGCATTCATTTTGAACCAGTTAGTTTCAGGGAGTTCACATCATCAATAGCTCCTCATCAAGGTCAGAAATTCAGGCCCTTCCGAAGTGATCAAGCACACACCTGGGAAAGACTCTCCCATTCCAGCTCCTCTCCAGTGCACTGGTTGATCCCTCTCCCTCAGCAGGCAATCAAACCACATTGTCCCAAGCTCAAGCCTCCAAAAAATACACAGCATCAATGACTTCTCTAAAGCCATCTCTAAAGCCTCTTTTCTAAAGCCTGTCCTGAGAAGGTAAGGACAAGGCCATGTCCTGAAGACTCCAGTCCTGGGAACCTCTATCCAAATGTCTTCACTCTCATCAGTTCCTTTCCAGGAAGGGACAAAAGCCCACGAAGAGAAGGACTAACATTGGCACAATGTTCCTTCTCCCCTACATGGGCGAAGAAATTGGCCCACAATAAAATGAACCCTGAAATTAGAAGGTGGCTCCTCAATGACTGTGGCATCGTGTACCAGGACAAGCCCAGTTAAACCTGGTTTAATACAGAGCTCGAGCAGAGCGAGGTCCCAAGTTAGGACCCACAAACGATGACAGAACAGAAGACACCTCCTTCCCGGTGGAACTGGCTGTGCTTTCATATTCAGCTAAACCTCCCAGTGAGAAACCTGAGATGAAGCACTGTGGAGTGTATCCTAACACTAACCCACACAAACCCCAGGTTGGGACGTGGGTGGCATTGATTAACTACAGCAAGATGAGAAGAAAGACAACCTCTGCCCCATTCTGCTGGCCCTTTTCCCTGGGAGATGACTGGTGATGGAGAGTTCACCTGCTTTGAAGTGGAGATGGATCCAAGAGCCAGGCAGGTGCAAAGCCTGCAGAGTGCAGGTGCAAAGTGCCACAGAGCTCACCCTGCAAATCCATCATCTGCAGGTCTTTTGGGGTGGGGGATACTTCTAAGCAGATTATAAGCTTCTGCATGAATTCTGCCAGTCAATCCATCTGAATCATCTTCCTAACCAAAAGGCATGAGAGGGAAGATCTGTTTTCTCTGCCGTTGACCCATGACATGCCTCTGCCATTGAGCAATTCTGATTGTGGCACTTAATGCAGAACAAAAACCCCCAGCCCCTTATTTTAAAACAGAGGAGAAAAACCTTCCTGGATCTGTCACTGTAGATATTAGCCCATTGCCAGCCACAGAAAGCTGCATTCTTGACTGACGTTGGTTTTCATGGCCCATTTGCTTGTTTGCTCCAATTTCTCCTCCTCAACAACTCCAGGAACTGGCAAAATTGAGAGACTGGCTTTTTTGGGCTTGCTGGCAGACTGGGAGCTGTTTCATACAGAGGACGAGAATGGGGTAGAATGGGGCTAGGAGGAAGATGCAGAAGAGCAAGGGCTCTGTAGGGAAAAGGAAGGTCAGAGCTTGAGTGGAATTGAAGGTCTGGAGAGAAATTAATGAGAAGAAGGAGCTGATATGAGAAGAGGAAGTGGATGGGATGGAGGAAGCGTCAGCCTCAGCCATCCATCTCACTTTTTTCCCCCTGCACCTGAGCAGGATCAGACCTTTCTTCTCATTCAGTGCTGAGATGGAAACAGCTTGGGCTTCCAGTTCATCTATAGAGCAGGTCTAAAAACCAGCCTCACTTGTTCATAGCTCAGACAGCAGCAGAGTCCAACATCAGCTCCCTGGAGAGGCAGCTGATGCCAAAGCACCAGGAAATGATCCCATCAAGAAGAGTCAAAGAGCCAGCCCCAGTTCAGCAAAAAAATACTAAAAAGCAGGGCACTGGACAGCATTGTTTATGACTTTCTGTGCATTTTTGTACCCAGGGAAGGGAAGCAGGCAATCAGGGCAGGGAGGACTTGCCAGACAGGAGGGTGTGGGTGATATCTTCCTGTTGATGAGATGTAAACAAGCCCTTGGAGCAGGTCAGGCCATGCAATGCCCTCTTATCATGAGCCATTTCACTTGGCATAAACACCAGCCCTCAGGTCAGGGCTATAATCTCTCCCAGATGCTTTTGCCCATAGGCCTGATCAAACCTAAAGTAGGGGGATAAAATAATCCCCACCCACTGCCTTTCTTCTCTAGTATCTCTTTTCTACCCCAAAACATATTTCCCTGGTGGAAACGGTTCCTAGAGGTTGGGGAATGTTTCCTACAGAAGGTGACCACGTCTCTCGACGCACCATTGCAGCAAGTGCCGTATGGCGCTGCAGGCAATGAAGCTTTACCCTGACGCATAGCCTGGGAAGGGAAGGCTGGGCCAGGGGCTGCTGCCCTGATGAGCATTTTGGGAGGTAGCCATAAACCCTCAGCCTGTCAGGGAGTTTAACCTGACCTGTCAGTCAAGGTCTCCATTTCCCAGGCTCCATCCCATCACAAATGAACTTGTCTCACAAAGCCCAGTCCAACATGACAAGTGTTTATATAGGACTAATGAGTGTCTCCGTCCCCAAAGACGTCTTGGATCGCTCAGATACTGAGGTCCAGGCACACACACCGTTTACTTTGCCAAATGCAGGTCTGCAAAGATCCACAGTGCTAATTATGCCCTGTTGCAGGGAGCAGCCCGGTATGCTTTGGGCTCTGCTTCTTCACACAGAGAACCTGCATGGGGCAGGAACCACAGGTGCCTCTCTGGAGGGGAAGGCTGTCCCAGCAGGGAGGCTCTCAGCTCCTGTGCAAGGAGACCCGCCCCCAGCCGGGGTCTCTCCAGAACTGCCCACCAGACCAGTCATCCAGCACAGGGCGCTTGCCTTCCTGGTTTAGCCATGCAAGCCATCTCCTGAGAAAGCCCCGAGGAGAAGCACTTGGGGGTGTTGGTGGGTGAGAAGCTCCACACGCCCCTCAACGTGCACTGGCAGCCCAGAAACCCCCCCACCCCTGGGCTGCATCCCCAGCAGCGTGGCCAGCAGGGCCAGGGGGGAATTCTGCCCCTCTGCTCCGCTCTGGGGAAACCCCACCCCCAGTGCTGCCTCCAGCTCTGGGGCCACCACCAGCAGAAGGACATGGAGCTGTTGGAGAAGGGACAGAGGGCACAGAGATGCTGGGAGGGCTGGAGCCCCTCTGCTGGGAGGGGGGGCTGAGAGAGTTGGGGGGGTTCAGCCTGGAGAAGAGAAGGCTCCAGGGAGACCTTTGAGTCCTTTCCAATCCCTAAAGGGGCTCCAGGAAGGGGAGCTATAGGATAAGGGGGAATGGTTTTAAACTGAAAGAGAGGAGATTTAGATTAGGTATTAGGAAGAAATTTTACACTATGAGGGTGGTGAGAGTCTGGCCCAGGTTGCCCAGAGAAGCTGTGGCTGCCCCATCCCTGGAGGGGTTCAAGGTCAAGTTGGACAGGGCTTTGAGGAACCTGGTTTGGTGGGAGGTGTGCCTGCCCAGGGCAGGAGCTGGCACTGGATGGTCTTAAGGTTCTTTCCAACCAAAACCATTGTATGAGTCTATGAAAGAAAAGCACCTTTTTCTCATTTAAGTGCCTTAAATTGAGCACCAGGAAAATGCTAGCATCCCTTTATGCTACACCACAAATATCTTGTGCGACTCCACCTCTCCAAGGAGTCCTGGCTCTGCTGGATTTGCCTGTCTGGAGAGGTTCAGCAGCCACACAAAGCGACAGGACCTGTCAGCAAACGGCTGCGATGCTGGGTTTGGGCCATGAATTCCTGACATCCGCCTCTGCCTACGCAGCGGCTCCTTCCAGCCGAGTCCTCGGGGCCCCATAACCTGGCAGCCTCCTTGGAGCGGACGTGCATTACCCTCATCCCACACAGCCCAGGCTGTGATCCACCACCTTTGGATGGGGAACCTGTGGCCAGAGAGGAACCAGCCTCCCTGCTCTCCCCCTGCACGTCCCCTCTGCCACGGTCAGAGGCTGGTGGGACCCAGGGGTGCCAAGTCCTCCCACATCCTCACCTTGGCCCCAGCAATGTCGGTCAAGAAATCAGCTTCATAGGAGAGGAGAAAAAGACCCAGCGTGGTCTTGGCTGGGAATTGTGGTGTCTGTGGTTTCCAGAAACTTTTAGGCACTTGGCTCCTGTATCCCTCGGGAGATGCATGACATTATCAGTGCAGTCCGTGCTCACCTCAATGGATTCTTCCTTCTCTACACTGCTCTCCTCACACCCTCTGCAGCTCCTGGGATTCACGCTCACTCATGCCTCTGGACTTCACCCAGATCTAGACTTTGTATGAGCACGTAGCAGCACCAGTGTCCCGCACAAAAGAGGAGGCACCAGCTAAGAGGACAGGCTGCTGCAGAGCCTGGACACTGGTCCACCATCCCTTTGGACCAAATCCTCAGCAGTACCTTGTCCCCCCACACCTGAAAAGCCCTCAGACAAAGAGGTTGGGTTGGACAAAGATCCTCAGGGCCGTGGGTGGTGCATTGAGTACATTGACTTATTCCACATGGGTGCCCCTGGACCAGGAACTGCAGCAGTTGTCCTATAAAAACCTCAACCGGAGAAGATAGAGCTCCCAAGAAGAATAGGAAGGCGTTGCAGGGAGAGGGTGTAGGGGTATCCGCGTGTTTATCCCACAGTCTCCAGCTCTGCCAAGACCAAACTGAGCTCAATGGCATCAGGCGCAGGGTATGGCCATGCCCACAGAATCATTTAGGTTAGAAAGGACCTTTAAGATCATTAAGTCCAACTGTAAACCCAGCACTGCCAAGTCCACCACTAAACCATGTCCCTCAGCACGATGTCCATATGTCTTTTAAATACCTTCAGGGACAGTGACTCCACCATTTCCCTGTGCAACCTCTTCCTTGTCAAGATTGAGCTGCCCAACACATGCCCAAGCCCTCCTCACACCCCAGAAAAGGAGAATTCAGGTCCACAACTGCTGTCGTTCAACAGGAATGAGTCCAATCCCATCCCACATTTCAAAGACCTACCAGATCCCAATGTCGTCCCTCCTTCCCCACCTCATCTTCTTGGATTCCTAGAGGTGAAGCCCAGACCTGTGCAAATAGCTGGTCTGTCCTTTAAAGATCAAATTAAAAAATTAGGAAGTGGAAAAATTTTCTCTTTAGGTCAACCCAGAATGAAACCTTCCTATTTGTCACAGCAAAATATTTTTTTTCCTTAAGCGGAGACAATGAAAACATCTTGTTCTCCCCAAAATAAAACCTTGCTCTGTTTTCAAATGCATGTTTGAAGGCACTTGTGGTCCCCAGATTTTTTAATTAAAGGCAGGCAAATTTCAAATTCGGAATGTCACAGTGCAATAAAAAGTTAAAGCATTTAATTTTATGCATATCTTGAACAAAGCCTGCAGTTTTTCATCCCCAAAATATTCTTTTCTTTTTCCTTTTTTTTTTCACTTCAAACTTTGGTTCAAGTTGTAAATAATTTCAAAGGAACTAAAATAACTTTTATTTACCCTACTAACAAATGTTTCATCTTAATTTCAGCCAGGCTAACTTAAAGTGATTGGAGCCAGATTCTTCTCAGTGGTGCCCAGTAAGTGGACAGGAGGCAAGGGCCAGGAGCTGAAATACAGGACATGTCCTTTAAACAGAAGAGAAATCTTATTTTTACTCTTTTTTTTACTGTAAAGGTTGTCAAATGCTGGAGCAGGTTGCGCAGAGCAGTTGTAGGGTCTCCATCCATGGAAATAATCAAAACTCAACACAGCCTCTTCTGGCTGTTCCTCCTCTGAGCTGGGGGTTGGATTAGATGATCTCCAGAGATGCCTTCCAGCCTCAGCCATCTCCATTATGGGCAATTTTATGAGGAACTCAAAAAGGAAGCATCCAGGCCCTGGGGATGGACAGGGACACACCAACCCCCTTAAACCACCACAAATTGTGGCATCACCAGCCCTGTGAGTCCCACAAAGCTTCATGGTATTTTCAGGCTCCAGTTCCTGGGATTTTGCAATTGAGCGCTTAAAATAAAATGCACTTTTGTTACCTTCCTAAATGAAATCCTGTAACCTCTGCCTGACCCGCAAGGGGGAAAAATAGAAGAAAGAAGAAAAGAGAAACCCGTGGGCATTTAAAAGGAGCCGTCCTGAGAGCAGCCAGTCCAGAAAACCCAGATTTCTGCAGACGGTGCACCTCCTGCTCAGATCCTCTGGTGTCCAGTAAGGTGTAAATCCTGACAAGCTTCTCCCAGAGTTGGGTATCCAAAATGTCCTGTGCCTATGTGGATCCTCCAGAGCTTAATAAGAAGTTTAGTTCATGCTGGAGCATTGCACACATTAGGGCATCCGTTCCTTTCCTGGCCACCTCGTAAGACCTTGACAGAGTTACAAGCTTGATCCCATTGTCATCTTGCACTGAAACTGGCCACCATCAGCACCCAGCATTCATTGGGCACCATCAGCTGTGTCATTTGAATAGGCTTAATATAAATTATTTTGGGAAAATTTGGGAAATACCCGAGTTTGTCAAAAAAAGGTATGGAAAGAAGAGTAAAAAGTCTACAGATATTCCTTATTTGGGCTTTTGGAGAGTGTCAGGGTCAGTCATCTCCATCTAAGGACCTCTGAGGGGTCAGGAAACAGCAGCTTGAACAGAGAAAGAGGAGAGTATGGAAATCTCAGATCCCATTCATCCCCTGGACCTCCCTCTCTGAGATATTCTGCCGGATGCAAACCTTTTATTGTCCTGGCCATTAAGAAAGACATTTAAAATGCCTTAAATTTCAACAAGGCTCCTAGACGCCCCACAGAGGTGTGTGCAAACCTTGCAAATGCACATGCACAGGAACACACCTCAGCCCTGTGATGTGCACATCATGGTGAGCTGTCAGCTCCAGCATCCCATCCTGTGCAGCATTTGGGGAAGGTTTGATTTTAGCTGCCAGTAAAGTCCCACATCGCCAGTTTGCCCAGTGAGCATCCCTTTCCGTTGTAAATGTCCTTGGGACAGCGGCAGGACTTTTTCAATATTGGTTTTCTGGAAAAAGCATCTCAGCCTGTCTTCAAAGAGCCATCAGACTTAGGCTGGGGCTAAACTTACAGTTCCTGCTTTCCCCTTGGAGAAAGTCACCAGAGCGCTGTCATCTCTCAGCCCCAGACATCTCCTGGAGCAAGGGGACCTCTACAGCCCATTCCCTGCATCTCCCATCTCAGCCAAAAGCGAGCATTTCCCGCAGGCTGGGGGGGATCCATCGCCCTCCCGTGGCAGGCTTCAAAATAGGTTCCTGGCTTTGACTTCCACCCGTGTACAAGGAACAGCCGGATTTGCTGTAATAATAATAAGGTCAGCACTTTTGAACAAGGCAATAATTCCTATCATACAGGTAGGAAAGTAATCTGGAGCCTCTGGGTTGCTGGTGACCTGCAGGACTGCAGAAAGTCCCCATCAGCAGAAGTTCTCACTGCCTAAAAAGGAGCATCACGTTCAGGGAAATAAAAGGAAGGTGCTCACAAGACCATCAGTGTCTTTCCAAAAGTGACACACTGCCCTTGTCTCCCCCTCATCTGACGATTTGGCTCACAGATTGAAAAAAACATGCTATCAAGTAACGTAAAAACACGCTGTTCCAGATGAGAAGAGCATGTGGAGATACAACAGGGACTGAAACAGGGTAAGAACAGCTGCTTGGGAAAACACCCAGCACCAGGAAGGACCTGATCCTGCACAACCCATTCCCTTGCCTTGCTATGGCCTCCTCCATATCAGCAGGACTCGGCAGGAGCCAAGCTCAACACAGAATTCCTGGAGGAATTGCAGCACTGGAAAAATCAACTTGGTGCAGCGTTCACTTTATACACCCCAGCATACCTAAAGAAAGTGTAATCCCAACAAAACCAGTTGTCCTGGCGAGCACAGATGGGCTAACTCAGCCCATTAGTATGTGCCCAATGAAGCACCCCCGTGACCAGACTTGATGGGGTTTGGAAAAAGTAGGCTTGCTCCAAGCCCCGGGACTGCAGCCAGTAAATGGCATTCACATGCTATCAGAGGCATATGTACGCTGTCATGTGCTATTGGGCTTACGCTGCCTTGGAAAAGACAAGAAGATCATTTTTCATATAAAAATGAAGGTAAGAGGCAAGTATTCACCTTAGCCAGAGACGACCCCTGCAGACTTTGATAATTAACTTTGGAGCCATCAAGTGTTACAGACTTCCTGGCATCTTTTTCTGTCTCCATGGATCTTCTGTCTGCTCCTAATGGAGAAATATAGAATATATATATAAAGAAATATAATGCATCCCTAAAAGATCCTAAACATGAGGAGGAACTTCTTTGAGGGTGGCAGAGTCCTGGAACAGGCTGCTCAGAGAGGTTGTGGAGTCTTCATCTCTGGAGACATTCAAAACCCACCTGGACACGTTCCTGCTCTGGGTGGACCTGCTCTGATTGGATGATCTCCAGAGGTCCCCTCCAACTCCGTATCACTCTTTGATTCTGTGATCCATAAGTATCTTGTGTATCCTGGACCACAGGGATGCTCAGCATGTGAGACATGAGCAAGGGATACCCCACTACCAGTCTGAGGTCTGACCCAGCATCTAGCAGGCTGACCATGCACATGGCTAGGAGCTGGCAGCATTTGGCTAGCACCAACGTGTGTCACTTTTTTTACAGCGGCACCCACAGGATTGAGGAAATATTGTTCCTCAGCACCTCATGCTGCAGGAGCCACTTATGCCAAGAGAACACCCATGTCCACATGGAGCTATACCACTTGTGATTGTAAGGGCTGGAAAGCAGCCACCTCCCTGCTGAGGAAACAAAGGTCCCCATGCCCAGCATGTGGGACATGTAAGCATGCAGCAGGAAAAGGCTGGAATGGATGAAGTGATGGGAGATGGATGGTGTGTCCTCGGTGGGCAGGCAGGGACTGTAACTTTACCTGCAGCACTGCACATCACCCCTTCTCCAGAGCCTGGTGAGCCCCAGGACCACACTGGGACTGTGTGAGAGGGCTGCAGGAGAGCCAAGTCCAAGACAGGACTCCTCTTCTTACCGTAACAGGAAAAGAGGTGCAATAGGTAGACTCCTGCTTCCACCACACAACGCTCCTCCATCTCCCCACCGTTCCCAGATCACTGCAGCCCCTCTCTGCCTGTTGAACAGCCCTGAAAAAGAATATCAAATGCATCGTTAGCACAGGGTAAAAGGAAAACCCCAGGCCCAGGCAGATTGCTCTGCTGTTGATATAATGACAGAGATGTCCTCTCAGACCATTTCTGCTAAGACTCAGACTTCCTTTGCTGGGAGGTCACTACTGAAGCTAGAGCTACCTAGGTCTTTGTACAGCACCAAGCACAGTGGCTGCACGATGCAAACACAAGGGGGATTTTTGATAGCATCGAACAAACCCCACCTCACCCAGCAGCTGGGCTGAGGCTTTGGCCCAAGCTGGAGAGAAGGCAGTTCGCTGAAGCCCAGGAACAAGAAGGCAGAGACGTGAGCCCAAACCTGGAGCAGGTGAAAATCACTGATTCTTCATTCACTTTTAGATTTACAAAGGACGGCAAAGGTCTTGGGCTCTAACACGGTTACAGACATCCTGGAAGTGAGGAACAGCTTTCCCCGGCACAAGGAAGACCATCGGTCGGGTCTGTCTGTACAGCCCCTGGCACCAGAGGCGAGACTGGTGCCCGAGGTTTAAGTACAAATCATCTCTGCATGTGCAAGGCAAGATGAACCAATAATCCTGTATCCTACCACACACCGAGGCCGCCTGTTTACTTTCCCAGCAAATTATGCACTGTATTAAAAAGCCCTCCCCTCCCCAGATCCCATGCCTCCTCTAGGACCATATCCTCCCGGATGATAGGCATCCCACACTCCCACTGAAAGCAGCAAGGAGACGGTGCATTCAGCCCCTGGCAGCATCATTCATCCGGAGGAAGGGTGTAGGGAGATATTTGGTACCTCGCAGCCAATTGGAAGAGAAGTGACACTGCCAAGGGGGTGCTTCCAGCTTCTCTCTCCACCCATCCTCCATAACACCCCCCTCCCTGTCACCAGTGCCATCCTCCTCACACACAAAAGCAGTGCAATTAGCTGATTTAAGGGAGCCGAGGCTTAGCAAGCTGCAAGCGGAAAATAATAATAAAATACCTTGGAGCAGAGGGAGGCAGCAGAGGAAGAAGTAGCCATGGAAGAATACAAATAACTGCCCTCAATTCTCCCCCTCCCACCCTTGCCCAACAAAATCCAAATCACAAAGCCAGGACCGCTTGAGGAAGGCCGACCTAGATGCATCCTCACACTCCTGCGCTGAGAGAGACGCACACGTCTGTGTCCAGATCCAGGCGCTGGACCTCCTGAGCAGCCCGTCTCCATCGGGAGGAATGCCCGGCTGGGATACAGACAGCATCTTCTTTGTTCCTCGTTAGCCACAAGCATCAGTAAGTACAGCATTATCTGGGGCTTCCATACTGTTTGATATTAAGAAACATCAGGCTCCAGCCTGGGATTTGCTTCAGTATCTTCCCTTTCTCTTCCTCCCTCCATGATGCCTGCAGGGTGAGCAGAAAGCAGATGACAGTGGCGGGGAGGAGGGAGGGACAGTGAGGGCTCTCTGAGCCCCAAGGGATCTCCTTTGCCTGCATCTAGGGAAATCAAAAACAGAGACATGTGTGACTGTGTCATGGGCATCGCGTGCAGCTGGGAATGGGGGTGAGGACAGAATACATAATGTGTATGCTGGGAGGAACAGCTGGGAGACACTGGGAGGGGAGAGAGCCCTGCAATGCTCACAGACAGCTCTCTGCTCTGATTCCTGTCTCTGGCAGAGCCCGTAATAAAGATGGATGCCAGATTTACTCAGGCCTCTATGTAGCTTCATTCCCTTAAAGCAGATACACAGACAGATTTATCTCCCTCCAGGTCATCGCCAGCGACATCCTCTGTAAATACAAGCAGAAGCAGAAAAGGCCCTGGCTCTCTAGAAGAGCCTTACAGCAATAGGTCAGACTTTGCCAGATGCTTCCCCAATACCAGGGGCCAGACAGAGCAGCCCCATCCACTTGGGAAATCACCTACCCTAAAAAATCCCTTATCCTTAAAAAAAAAATAATGTTACTGACAGTGCCTGGGTACGTTTATAGTGTAAAGGTTGAGCTCAGGAAGAACATTCAAAACTGTCCTGCAGTTAATGGGTTAATGCACATGCCCAGCATATGAGCTGATCTCACTTGAACATGTTCTCTATAAGATAAGGCCTCTCCCTGTCCCCTCCGGGTGCAGCATCCAGCTGAAAGCATTGTGTCTGCTCCCCCTGACCAGAGCTGGTCCCACAAGGGCTGGTCCTGGGCCCTTGGTCAGACTCTGGTAGGATTTGCAGGTGCAGCCTCTGGGAAATGGGTACAAAAGTCTGATTTTTGCTGGCTGTCAGTGTAGGAACCTTCTAGTGCAGCAAAGAATATACATGGACCTAAGGGCTCCTTGTGCTGCTGGAGTGAGAACTAGGGGTGCGGGATCTGAATCTCTCCTGTTAGTACAGCGCAGGAGAAGGCCCAGACTGGGACCAGCACACCCACCTGGTCTCCATTTGATGTGCTCCGTTTTTTTGGCATCTGCTTTGGTTTACCTGGGAGCAAGGTAGAGGCGTGAATTCTTGAGGGGTGTGGAAGGACATCCAACATCCCTGTGAAGGCCTCCTCACCCTCCTCCCTTTCTCCCTGGGTGCGGAGACAAGCGCAGAGATGGGGCACAGACCAGGCAACAGCAGACAGGAATTTCTCTGCAAAACCAAAACCATTGTCTTCCGCCCAGGCCGGCAAAATGGAAACTGGTGCTACTGCCAAACCAACCCAAAACCAGCCTGGGAGGATCTCGGTCTTCTCTTCCCTTTCAGCCACATTTCATTTCCCTTGGCAGAGGTGATTGTTTATGTTGAGATGAATATTGCAAGAAGAGTAGCAAGGCAAAATGGGAGGGCATCAGCACAGACAGTGGATCCTCAGGGAGAAGAGCTAAGGTGACAGGGGAGCAGAGATAAACCTGTTGCTTTGATCCAGGGCCAACCTCACCTCCTCTTTCTTGCTCAAAGCATGACAAGTGGCCACAAAACCCCACGTCTTTGCCTTGTTCCTTTTGCAAAACAAGCAGCTATCACACTGCTCTTTGTGGAGCACAGTATCGATGTACCTGCTCTGGACAGTTCAGGTTAAATGTTCCCTGGTAGCCATGCTCCATCCCAACCTCTTGTCTTCCACCTCCCAGGCTGAGCCCTTCCTGGAGGGGACTGCTCTGCAGCCAGACCCTCTCCGAGCACAATGGGAACCACAGAAGCCACTTTGCGGATGGAAAACATGGATGTGAAGGAAGAGTGGCAAGATGAAGACTTCCCCAGGTTTGTTCCCTGAAAAAAAAAAAGGTATTTCTTCCTGTAAGAAACCAGCAGGGCAGGGAGCATGCAGGGCACTCCCACCAGCCCCAGAAGCAAAAAGAGTCCTAACTCCAACAGGGCAATTCTGGTCAGAGAGCAGAACTTCTGTAGCAAGGCTGCACTCAATGCTTATAAATCTTTTGGCTGGCTCTGGCAGCTCTTGTTGAGTGTGCAAGGAGAGTTTAAGGAGCAGGGTGAGGAGGACAAGATCAGCGTGGATGAACAAATGAATCTCTGAATCAAGAAGCATCTCCCCAAACAGAGCATGACTCCCACTGGAGCCCCTCTGCTGCGAGGACAGGCTGAGAGAGCTGGGGGGAGAAGGGTCCAGGGAGACCTTAGAGCCCCTTTCAGTCCCTAAAGGGGCTCCAGGAAAGCTGGGGAGGGACTCTTGATCAGGGAGGGGAGCCAAAGGACAAGGGGGAAGGCTTTGACCCTGAAAGAGGGGGAGATTGAGATAAGATGTGGGGAAGAACTTCTTTGCTGTGAGGGTGGTGAGAGCCTGGCCCAGGTTGCCCAGAGAAGCTGTAGCTGCCCCATCCCTGGAGGGGTTCAAGGCCAGGTTGGAGGGGGCTTGGAGTAACCTGGTCTGGTGGGAGGTGTTCCTGCCCTGGGCAGGGGGTGGGACTGGGTAGGCTTTAACATCCCTTCCAACCCAAACCATTCCATGATTCTATGAAACAGAGCAGTGCAGCTTTGCCAGGAATTTGCCACAAGAAGCAGAGTCACTGGGATGCAATACCCACTGGCACTGACTTGCAGAATATCAATGGCTCCAAACTTTGTAAGAAATGATGTGTGGGTGACAGAAGGTGCCAAAGTGGCAACTTTCACCTTCACAGGCACAGAGTGCCAGAAAAAAAAAAAAAAATCCCTGTAAGCTCAGTGTGTGCGGAACTCCCTGCAGCCACCCAAAGGGTGCACTCACCTGCACCCCCACCCAAGCGTTGCCCCGAACACTCAGCGCTGAAGCCCACAGCCCAGCAGCATCTCACTAGGGCGCACACAGCATGGCCAACCCCAAGCCTTGCTGCAGCCGAGGTCTGGGCTACTGAGGGGCTTTTCAGGGCCATCTCACCCTGTCCCAGCTGCAGCTGGATTCCCCCAGGCAGCCCACAGAGCCCCTGTATTCGCAGACAGAAGCACAGTGTGCTGCACGGGTGGGCACGCAGAGATCCTGCCATGCCAGAAAGGGTCTCCTGTTTCCCTTGGCACCATGGATGAGCTTTGCTCTGTTTAGCTCGGGTCCAGCTGCATCGTTAATCTAAGCACCTCTGTCTGCCAGCACCCGGCTCGCAGGACATGGCTTGTCCTTCCGCTGTCCCCACATCTGGGCTCAGCCAAGCCCTTGAGATTCTCAGATGGGTTTTTTCTTTCCTCTGAGAGCAGAGCTGGGCAGAACTTTGGGCTGATGGACTTCTGCCAACCTAACGTCCTCCCAGAGTAGGGGGACAAGCTTTTTATTGAGTAGGAAGGAAGATGGAATAGAGAAAGGAAAGTGAGGTAGAGAAAGGAAAACGTTGACCCAAGGCTCCCCGCTAAATCTCGGTTCAAAGCTGTTCTCGCACCTGGACACCAATGCACAAACCCACACTATCACCTTGGAGCAGGAACAAGCAGCAAACTTTCCCCAGCCACAGCCAAGCCTTCAGGGGGCATTTCTTCAGCAGAGCCCTCAGCACCACCCAACATGGGCATCGTCACTCCCACCTGGCAAACGAAGCACAGGGAGAGGCAAAGGGATGTGACCAGGGCTGGGTGACAAGCCAGTGGCAAGGACAAGGCCAGAGCCCTACAAACCAGCTCCCCAGCTTGCTGACAGACTGCTGCGGAGGGATTAAATCAGGAATAATGCAGATGAAATAGAGCCCAAACAACTCCTGGACAAATGAGGGAAGGCTAGCTGTGTTTAACTAGCATTAAAAATGAATCAGTAATGATTTTCAAGACACTCCCCCCTAGAAGCATTAAAATAATAGGGCAGAAGCTGCTGCATGTGGGACAGTAGCTCTCTAGCAGACAGTTTGCTGCATAGCTATTTTTGCTTAGCTGTGATTAACCAAGCTTGCCACAAAAAACCAAAAAACAAAAAACAAAAAAAACCAACAACAAACAAACAAACAAACAAACAAAAAAAAAAAAAACAAAAAACCCAGAATTTGATCTGGGCTGGGGGAACTGAATTCAGCTGTTCATTAAGGACGTAAGGCAAGATTCCTATCCCTCCCTGAGAAGCTGATCTGCAGAATGAGCTTCTGCCTTACAGGCTGCAAGGTGCCAGGATTCTGGGAGAGCGGAGAGGAGAGGGTGTCCCCCGCTCCTGCTGCTCCCTGAGGGTTCAGCCTCCTGCTGCTGGTCTGTCTCTGCTGTTCGTGCAAGCGCTGCCCTGCCATGATGCCGTAGCCATGCTGCGGGGCGGATGCAGGAGCATGCTCACTCCATCGCGCATCCATTGGATCAGGGGCGGTGGAGGCTCTCGGGCTGATTGGGGCACGAGAGAAGGTGCTTCTAGAGGGAAACCGGGCAGCACGATGACAGAGTAGAGCAAAATGGTGGCACCCAACCCTTAGAAAAGCTGCTTCATTCAGAAAATCTGGCACCTGGGGCTAGCTGCGTTTGGGAAGGAAGATTTACACGGGAGGCTGGGAGGCAGTGATTTGAGCATCCTTGGGGAAGGTAAGAAAACCCTTTTCTTCACCTCTGACTTTTGAATTGCTTCCCTTAAATGAATCCCAGCATCAGACAGCAGGGTGTCTGGCTGCAGCACGTACTCAGTGCAGCTGGGCCTTCCCCTCCCCCTCCCCCCCCCTTTTCCTTTTGCTGCTGTATCACCAAGTTGTGCCAGGCGCCAGCTCACAGGCAGATAAACAACGAGTCAGGCCCCATGCACAACAAAAGCAAAAGGGAGGAGGAGGAGAAGCTGAAGGGTGAGGGGCAGGGGACAGAGAGATCTTTCTGACAGCTCAGGAATATTGTGGCAGCCCCTGGGGTCCCAGTCCCGCACAAGCAAGCAAGGAGCAAGCGCCTTTGATCAGGTCTCCAACTCTCATAAATATACAACAACCAGCTAGGAGAGGATTATCCCTTAATCTAAATATTTATAGGGTTTAATTTGGCTGGTAGCTCTGGTGTCATGGCAGCATGAAGAGGAGCCTTTGTAGGGCAGAGCAAGGCTATATGCTCCTGCAGGCTCAGAGCTACCATCTCCATCATCTCCCTCCCAGCTGCTGGAGACCAGCCCCAGTCCCATCCTTAAAGCACTGCCTTAAAACTGGTGGGTTTTCCCCCAGGTTTCACCCCAGGGCTGTCCCAGCATCCAGGATTTTACAACCGGAGGCATGAGCTCTTCCCCCAGTGGAGGGGGAACTTCCAGCAAGAGGAAGATAAAATGAGGACGGTCCCTTTTAAACACATCTTTGGCATGATGGGGTTTTGTCATGGTGCACAAGAAATTTCAAACCCAACTAATGCCAGGGGACAGGAACAAGTCTCAGCTCAAATTAAGGGGAAAAGAATCCAGAAAGCGTTCTGCTCAGGGTGGGAGAGTGCTGCTCAGCCACCAGCTAGGGATCTTCACCCCAGTACTGGGGACCAGCTTCTGATTTCACTTACCCCAGTATGGGTCAGGAGCAACTCCAGCAACTTCCAAAGGGCAACAGCCATGTAATAAGATTTGGCATTAGCAGGAAAGTGAACTTTTAAATCAATTGATGTTTCTAGCCTCCAGCTGGAGGTGTGGTGATTAATACCAAGGGTGCAGGAGCCAAAAGTGAGAAGCTGCAAATCCTCTGCCATGGAGCCCCAGGAATCACAGAATCACAGACTGGTTTGGATTGAGAGGGACCTTAAAGCTCACCCAGTTGCACCCCCTGCTCTGGGCAGGGACACCTCTCACCAGACCAGGTTGCTCCAAGCCCCCTCCAACCTGGCCTTGAACCCCTCCAGGGATGGGGCAGCCACAGCTTCTCTGGGCAACCTGGGCCAGGCTCTCACCACCCTCACAGCAAAGAAGTTCTTCCCCACATCTTATCTCAATCTCCCCTCTTTCAGGGTCAAAGCCTTCCCCCTCGTCCTATGGCTCCCCTCCCTGATCAAGAGTCCCTCCCCATCTCTCCTATAGGCCCCTTTCAGGTACTGAAAGGCTGCTCTAAGAACGGGAGAATGGATCACCCTTTGGCTCTGAAATGCAGGTTTGAGTGCCAGTGCCTGAATCTCAGCTCAGAACGAACCTGCTTCCAAACTTCAGCAGGGTTTGGGTATCACTGTCAGCTTTTGTCAAATGGGGACCGAGGGGAGGATGGGGTGACAATTCTGGGATCACACCTAAGCTTTGATCCATGCCTTGAACACTGACAGCCTTAGAGCAAAGTCCCTACAGACCAGGGACCAGCTGTCCCTGGGAGAGATGGCTGTAGCAGGCGCTTTGGGTAAAGTTCTGCTCTGCTGCAGCCATGGCCTGTGGCAGAAGGCAACAGCAGAAGATGGTCCCTGGTACCTTTGATGAGGAGCCCTAGAGCTTGCCTCTCAAACTTCTGCCAGAGATAAAAACGGGGGTAACATGGAGAGAGTAAGGATTTTACCAGGTTCCTCTGGGGACAAGATTTGTTCCCGTGTCCCTGGATGGATTTTCCAGCCTTTTGGCAGAATGGCTGCACGTGGGATGTATCGGAAGGTAAATGCAGGAGGTTAGCAGAGACTGCACCCTAAGAAAGCACAGCTGCTGGGTGCTTTCAAATCAGCTGAGGGCATCCCTCAGGCTGAGCTCACAGGCAAAAGGGAAAGGGGTTGCATGTTTTATCCTGATGTCTCCTGTTCTCTCCACTGTCTGCCATGGAGTGACTTTCTTCTAAACATCAGCTGTTATCTCCTGTCTTTTTACCTCCTCCCCTTGGCTTGCCTGCAGACCTCTCCCAGAAGAGACAGGGATGGAGTCACTGGGCAGCCCTACAGAAGACGAGAATACATCCTGTAAGTACCAGCCTGCCTTATCAGGAGTTCAAAGGAAAACAAGCCTATGGGAATGGCGGCTTGCAGTTAGGGCGATACCCTTGGAGTATCTGCAAAAATTCCCATGTGGGAGAGGAAACCAGCAGAGATCTGAATTTGCTAATCTTTCACCAGAAGCTGGGGGAGGAAATAGGTATCTCGGAAGTGTGGGCACTTTTGTCCAGCCATACCTGCAGGCACCCAGTACCTCCCAGCCATGACCCCCCACCCTTAGCTTCCAAAATCGTAGCCTGAAATAATGAAAGCCATAACGAAGCCATAATGAAAGCACCACATGTTGCACTAAGGATACAGGATGAGGACAACCTGTCAGTTATTTTCTTTTTAACTCCAGCTCCTCCAAATACTTTAAACTTTAATGGGGCGCATCGTAAGCGGAAGACACTTGTTGCACCTGAAATCAACATTTCCCTGGATCAGAGCGAAGGCTCCATTCTCTCCGATGACTTCCTGGACACACCAGATGACCTGGACATTAATGTGGACGATATAGAAACTCCTGATGAGACAGATTCCCTCGAATTCTTGGGGAATGGGAACGAACTGGAATGGGAAGGTAAAAGGCTGGTTTGGGGTGAATGTTTGCGGGGGTTGGGGCTTTTTTTTGTCTCATTTTAACCACTTTTGGCACAACTCACCAGCAGCAGCTGAGGACCAACTTCCCCAGTAGCAAAGCACAGCACACACAACCAAGTCCCATATTCCACAGAACATCTGCCCCACCAGGACCCCAGCTATAGCACTACTGAGACTTCTGGGCTATCTCAGCGCTTCCCTCTGGGGATAGTGTGGGCAGGAGTAGTTCAGGGGCTTGCAAACACCAGTTTAGCCATAATTTGGGATCAGGCATAAAGCTGTGGACACATAGGCCCTTCCAGCTGTGGCTGGGCCACCACCCCAGGCAGGAAGGTGCCGCCTGCTCACCTCTGCCAGTAGAGCTGTCACATGAAGGTTCAAACATCTTGAATAATGTGGTCTTGGCTAACTTGGCTGATTTTGCCTGAATTGGGCTAAGAATGACTCATGCAAGCAGCTCTGCTAGCAGATCAGAAGACAAACGGCACAGGCAATGCCCTCTTCAGCTGATATAGATGGATCTGAAGGAGGATCCAGTAAAAAGTCTGTTGTCCAAACTGTGACAGCAGGTTCTATAAGCAGCACGAGATGTTAAATTTATTTCTATTACAATTCAGCAATGGAGCAAGATTATTAAGAACCACAAACTTACACACATCAAAGCTGCAGATGAAACAGGCCATCCCCACTCTGTGCTTGTTACTGTCTCTTTCTGCACCCCAAAGTCCTTGCAGAGCCTCTTCGTACATCATATTAAAGGCAGAAACGTTTGTCCCTTTTTCGAGATGACACTCCCGTAGCCACAGCCAAGAACATGCCTGGGGACAGCGCAGACCTCTTTGGGGATGGTGGGACAGAAGATGGGAGTGCTACTAACGGGCGGCTCTGGAGGACTGTCATAATTGGAGAGCAGGAGCACCGCATCGACCTCCAGATGATCAAACCCTACATGAGAGTGGTGACACACGGAGGTAAGGGGAAGAGGGACCTAATCCTGGCTTGGTGGGGTTCTCTCAGTCCATCTTTGTCAAGCTGGAGAAGATGCCATGGCTGATTGTTTTGATTGTCTTTAGGGAAAAATTGTTATTTGTTTTGAACCACTACGTGGCGGATAAGCAGAAAAGCACCCAGGTCATGCTAAAAAACATATAGTCATATCACTGCTTAAACCAAAGCAGTGATAAAGCTGTCTCTGAGCAAGCCCAGGGTGTGGACAGCGATGGAGGGACTGCAGGTGCTCAGTCCCTCTGTAGCTCAGTGCCTGAGCTGTCTCTAGAGGCAGAGCTAAAGGCCATATCCACAGTTAGTGGCCATTTCTGAAATCTGAGCAGAGCTAAGCAACGACCCAGGGTGAAGCCCTCAGCTCCATGCTTTGACACATACAAATTTCCCCCTGAACCCATGTGCATGTTAGAGCCAAAAGCAGTATCAGAGACAAATCTAATTGTGAAAGAGGTCCATAAGAGGGACAAACACTTACCTACAGCTGAATAGAGGCACAAAACCCAGCCCAGGCCCAAATTTGGCAATACATTTCTGCTGCTATTTTTCCATCAACTCTTGCGTTACCCCCTGGAAAGAGTCACTGATGGTGCCCGTGTCTGTCTTTCCCAGGATACTATGGAGAAGGTCTCAACGCCATCATTGTCTTTGCTGCCTGCTACCTCCCAGACAGTAACCTGGCTGATTACCACTACATCATGGAGAACCTCTTCCTGTAAGTGGCTGGTCAAGGTCTATGAGGGAGAGGAGGACAAGGAAGGTAACCCAGGTTCTGGGGAAACAGTTTCTGTGCATTCATTGCATCAGGAACCTCAGCTGAAACAGTTTGAACCCAGGCCAAATGTACCCAGTGTGCAGCTGCAGATGGGAGTGAGCATCACTGGGTGAGACACTGCCCACAGCATTTGCATCCAAGTACAATAAGTCGAAGCATTCAAACATTCAGTGTTAATTATGCCAGTGATGGACTCACAGCCAGGCTGGAGCATACTTATATGATGCTGAACAGCTGGTGGGTCCTTCTGCTGGGCAGAAGAATGGTGCAGGGATGTCCATCAGTGTGCGCACTATGCTAATAAGCACCAGCAATCCCTGAGAAATACCCCTAGGTATCCCGCAGGGGTGCCAGGAGACTCTGAAACCTATTCCCAGGTCTACAAAGAAGGGGTCTGGAGTCCTTTTGAGATAACACACAGGCACCTGAAGAAACCTCAAGGGACCTTTTTTGAGCCTGATGTCCCCATTGCTTTTGCTTACCACCCAACAGATACGTGATCAGCAGTCTGGAGCTGCTGGTGGCCGAGGACTATATGATCGTGTACCTAAATGGAGCAACACCCCGGAGGAGGATGCCAGGCCTTGGCTGGCTGAAGAAGTGCTATCAGATGATAGACAGAAGGTGAGAAGCCTGTTGGTGTTGCCTCTTCATTCTTCCTGATTCTCTTCCCACATCTCTTCCACTGCTTCCTCACAGCCTTTCCCAGCCACCCCTCCTTCTTCTCTCCCCACACTCTGTAATTCCTTCCTCTATCACAGCTTTCTGACTTACTCCAGCATCTCTTCATTGCCTCTTCTCCCTCCTTCCCTCACAAGCACCTTTACAGAGATCAGGATCATACAGCACCCAAAGCAGTGCTCCTGCAACCTGCAGGGTCTGGGCTTAAACAGGGCTCCCGAGGCCACAGGCAGGGCTTTTGTGTGGAGACACCCTGATGAGGCCAGTGATGCTTATCAGTGCCCTTACACGTTACAGGTGAGTTTCAGAAAAGCTGCTTTGAATCTGACTTTCTGTCCCATGGCTTTTCCGCAGGCTGCGTAAAAACCTCAAAGCACTGATAATCGTGCATCCTTCATGGTTTATCCGGACAGTGCTGGCTATATCCCGTCCTTTCATCAGGTAAATATAACACATTCCCAAACTCGGCTTGCTTTGGAGTAGAAATTTAGTCTCATGAATTAGATCTTAACCTCACCCTTTACTGGTAGTGACCAAGGTGAGACTGTTCAACATTTGTCCTACATCTCTCTGATCTTCCCAAGGACAACTCCCAAAGTGGTTTTAGGAGACACCGTGGTGGTCTGGATCCAGACCAAAGCTTGTCCCAGTGGGTAGTGCCTAAAGATTTACTGGGAAGGGCAGGAATGATGGTCCTCTTTCCCTCCTACAGATACTGAGAGGGTCAAAGCAAAGTGAGGTAGAGCAATGTGACACCTCCCCACAATTTTTAGTCATCAGCATATTAGCACTGGGAGGAGATGGGTACGCTCAGACTACAGAGGATCCAGAGATGCAGAAATCCCCATTTCCATCAGGAAAATTCTGAATTCCTGTGGAAAGAACATCAAAACAAGACCTCAGGCACACTCTCTTTCTCTCTCTCTGCCAGTGTGAAGTTTATCAATAAGATCCAGTATGTTCACAGCCTGGAGGAACTGGAGCAACTTATCCCAATGGAGCACGTGCAGATTCCAGACTGTGTCTTACAGTGAGTATCAGAGGGAGCCCGGGCACACGCAGGACAAAAATCTTCTGTAGCAGGATATTGTATTGAGTCTAAACCCATGTACTGGAAACCCAGAGCCTGGGGCAAACCTGTATCTTACTGGTGCCAAGCAGGAGCCTGAACACTGTGCTGGTTTGCAGTTTATGACACATTCAGAGCAAACATTGCTTTTTGCTTAAAAGTGAACAGTTCTGACAGGGTAACATTTACAGAATGTTTCCTGTTTGTTGCAGATACGAAGAAGAGAGGATCAAGGCCAGAAAAGAAAGGTAAAATTAATTTGGGGATGGAGGGTGGGTTTGTTTTCTTGGGATGATGTTGCTTTCTCTTGTCATTATTTGTTTTATAACCAGTAAATTCCATGTTCCTCCTACCCTGATACCCCACACAGCCTACACTTATTGTCTACTGATTTTCCCAAAATAAGGAAAAGTTGCAGGAGGGACAAGAAGTTTGATTAAAAGGTTATTTGTCCATGGAACTGCTCCTCTTAACCCCACCACTGCACACATCCTGAATGTGCACCGTACGTGCCCGCAAAGGTCACCAGAAATCCCTCTGTATATAAAAATGGCACATTTTCCCCATATGACCATGCAAATTGACCTTAAAGTGAGAGCTAGAGCTTGTTTTAAAAGCTACTTCATTCTGCCAGAGTGGCATAAAGAGGGCCATTAGTTTAGAGTTTATTTTGTTTCATTTTCTAGACCTGTTCCACCACCTGTGATTTAGGTTAGAAGTGGTGGCCATAAACAGTGATATGTCAGCTCCGTTAAAAGCAAAAGGCAATTGTGGAAAGAGGAGAGAGCCGCTGGGTCAGCAGGAGAGCGATGTACTATAATAACACCTTCTCCTGCTGGTGAACTGAGCAGGAAATGCCAGTTTGGGATGATTCGGTTCATTAGTTGCTAAAAAGCGAGTCATCCAGCCCAAATAAGTCAGCTACATCCCTCTAGGGCCAACAGAGGCATCCTGAAAGGATGAGGATTATCAAGGTCACATATCACAGGGACCAACAGTCATTTCTGATCAGACCTGTAACCTCTCTCTGAGCTCCAGCTATCACCCTAGAAATGCCTTAATACTCTACCTTCTCACACTGCTCGCCCCTAGATGGTAGATTTCAAATGCAATTTGTGTTTACAGGGCAGAAGAGAAGCAATATATGGCTGAGAAGGAAAGGTAACTACTCTTTTTTATCCTTCCTTCGCTTACAAAATAGCTTAAACCATCTCTGGTGAGGAGAGCAGCCCTATTGCTTGGTAGCACCCCCAGGAGCCAGGCTCTGCTCACCCAGGAGATGTTAGGACCCAACAGGACATTTCTAAAGTGACTGGGAACTGGTAAAGCCTCTTCTCTCCCTGACAGCTCCCTGTGCCATCACTTTTGTGATGTTATTGACCTTAACCTATGTGAACGGATTCCTGACGCTGCTTTTTACCTCTCTAAAGCTAGTGAACCCGTTTGGTCATGGGCCGGAGCCAGAGGCACCAGGGAACGTTCTCCTGACATTCAGTTGTAGAATTTGCATGCTGGCGCAATGCAGGGAGCCAAATACTGCTGTCAGGCACAGCCCGGGTGTGCAGAAAGGCAAGATCTGAAGCTGTAACATTAGATGGGAAAGAAAATTCTAGGGAGGTTTAGAAGACAGTCTCAAAATCCTATGCCAGGATAATTTGGCCTGGTATTGGCTCTGCTTCAGAGTGATATAGCCTCTCTTTTCTTATTCTAACTAGCTCCTGAGGGGGAACAGTGCGTATTTCTGCTATTCTCTTCCCACAGAAAAAGGAGCTTTGATCAAAATTGCCACGGTCTGTAGGATGAGTCTGAATTGTGGCAAGAAACAAATGGGACCCCAGGGCCAGAAGTGAGGGTGACTGGTTTTGCAGTGGAGATTGACTTATTGTTTTGCTGGTTCTCTTCCAAGCAGGCCTGTGCCCCCAGCAGAGGATCAAGAAACCAGGTTTGTTTTGTACCTCGTTCTTTTGTCAGGCTCTATGTGGTAGATCCATGGTAATCCTATGTGATTAGAGGGTTCATAACCCTCTAACAGGAAAGGCCAGACGACCAGGACCCAGGTCATCTTAGACCCAGGACCTCTTTAGCCAGGTAACACTTGCCCAGTGCACAAGAGGCATCTGCCACTTTGCAGAGGGAGAGGACAAACTTTCACCCCACCGCAACGCAGCTGTGGTCACAACCACCACCACTGCAGCTTGTTCCCACGCATGGACCAGACACAACTGCAGCTGCCGTGGGGACACTGGGGAAAAGCTGCCCCTCAGTAAATGACCTGAAGTTTGCCACATGGTGAAGGTCTGCATTTGGGCTTTCACTGCAGAGCTGCCCTTACCCTACTTTTTCTTGGTCCTGTACACTCAGGAAAAGTTTTCAAAGAAGAAAAAAAGCCCATTAAAGCTATGAATGACATTATCTTTGGCCCTGATACACTTTTGGGGAGGATTACAGCCAAATTTTGGGGAGGATTACAGCCAAATATACTCATATTTTTTTGACATAGCGGGAATAAATAAAAAAAAATTACTACAATTTGCTTTCTAAAAATAACTCTCTCTTTCTGTTCCTTCCCAGTATGTCATGAATAGAAGTAGTGGAATGAATGGAGTAGAAGAAGGACACAGCCTGGCAGTCACCCATGTAAATGACCTTTTGGTAGAAGACCTTGTCGCCATCTTATTCTGAGTTCTGTAAGATCACAGAGCCTGCCCCCCCATCTCCAAGATGCAAAGTCCTTTCAACTTTTTGAAAACATTTTACTTCCAGAAAAAAAAAATCAAACAACAACAAAAAACCACAAAACAAGCCAAGAATAGCACTTTTCAGGACAGGTTCTAGTATGTTTCAATGATGGTCTGTGGAGAGCTATTAAGTAGCGCAGATAGATACCACTTTTCCTCGTAGTAAGTTAAGAGCATCCTGTAGTCCATTAGTGACCAGCCCAGAAAGAGATATATTTTTTGTTTAAATTATAAACCCTGCCCCTATCTTGCTGCTGGCCAGCACGGAGACATTTTGCTTTAAATTGCACACCCGGTTCCCTCCATACAGACATTACAACAGCTGCTGCCCTGGGGAGTAACTAACACAGGCGATGAAAAGAGTGCATTTTCATGCTTTCTATAGCCAGAAGTTGTTTCTTCCTGAAAATACCAAGTGCCCACTGGTCTAGGCGCCTCTTCCAGCCTTGACTGCCTCAGTTAATTCATTGCCTGTTCCTTTTATTAACTCACACCGACCCATTCCTATGAGTAAATGCCCTGTTTTTCCCCCAACTTGTTGTGTCTCAGTTTTAAGGCACTCTGATAACTTTGAAAGAGGGTGTCCCCTATGGCATGGCAGCCTCCACAGAACCTTCTTATGAGTATCTTCTCATATCAACACGCCCACACACACCAAAAAGGTCTGGTTTTAAGAAGGAGCCTTACAGACAGGAAAGCTTTTCACACCTTGTCTTTGTATTGATTTCATGACAGTGGACAATCACTCACTAGTAATACCTCCTGTCACGGAGACAAGCTGCTAAATGTTTGAAATTTCCTACTTGCTCTTCCTGGGTAACAAGGGCCTTGTCTATAGTCATACCTGCCTGGGAAAAACCCCTGTGGAAAAGGCTGTGGACGCGGAGGCAGCAGACTGGATCTGGGATCAGCTTCTTAGTCAGCCACGAGACGCAGATGTGATACGGAGACTCTGAAAGCTGTATTTTGGACTCACGGGGATTCTGTGAGAAAAGGAGGGAAGAAAAATTAAGAAACAACTATCTGCCCCCAAATAATTTGCAAACTCCTGATTTCACCAGAGCCACCTGACATGAACTGTCTTAATGCACCAGGTAAAACCCCTTGCAGACAACTGCAGATGAAGAATTACCTGCGTATTTCATCACTTGAGAAATATTTCAAACCTGGCAAGCCTAGCCCATGGCTTTCTGAAATCACTGCCGCTTCTCTCAGGTCTGCAATCCCCTGTAGGAGAATTCCAGCAAAGAAAGATTTTCCTCAAGATAGAGATGTCTCCTCTGTATAGATAAAGCCTCGTTTTTTGTTTTTTTTTTTTTTTTTTTTTTTTTTCAAAAAAAAAAAAAAAAAAAAAAAAAAAAAAAAAAAAAAAAAAAAAATTTTTTTTTTTTTTTTTTTTTTTTTTACTTTCAGTGAATAAAACTGCTACAGATGAGATCCTTATTTCCCTGAATGCTACAGAGGAGCACCAAATATGCTTTCTAATTTTCCTCCTCATTTGAGATAAGTTTTTCTCATGCACTTCCATCACGGATATATTTACTGAAGAGACCTTTGCACGAAAAGCAGAGCACTGCAGCCATGGCATTAACCCTCCAAGCTGAAAATGGTGAAAACTCCATATTTTCTCTCACTGGCATGTTAATAATAAGCACCAAGGAAGCATCGACCTCCGCGACTTTCTAGAAATTTCATTATGAGCCAGTTTCACTGAATTTCACTGAATTTCACTGAATTATTAGAGTTGGAAGGGACCATAGAGATCATCTAGTCCAACTCCCCTGCTGAAGGAGGACCACCCAGAGCTTGTCAGAGCATGTTACTCAGGAGCATCCAGGCAGGTCTTGAAAATCTCCAAAGAAGGGGACTCCACACCCTCCCTGGGCAGCCTGTTCCAGGGCTCTGTCATCCTCACTGTGAAAAAGTTCTTCCTCATATTCAAGTGGAACCCTTTATGTTCCAACTTGTGCCCATTGCCCCTTGTCCTCTCACTGGCAAATACTGAAAAGAGTCTGGTTCCCTCCTCCCTCAGCCCACCCTTGAGATACTTGTAGGCATTAATAAGGTTTTTTTTGGAGTTTAGTTTTTATGCCAATAATACCTCCCAGAGAAGGTGTACTGTCCCTGGCGTCCCAAGCAGGCAGAGACATCGCTTCAGGACAGAAGCGGCAGTCGGAGATTTTCAAACAACGATGAGTTAACCTGCCCTGCAGAGCTGGGCAGCCTTTTTCACACATGGGCTGTCAGATGGACTAGAGGAGCCCACACAAATTTTGAAAGGACTCTTCTGATGGAATTAAATTTAGCTCAGACTATAAAAAAAAATAAAAATCACAAATCTCCTTGTAGTATATGTGAATTCAGTGTCTCTCACTGATAATGTTTAAACCTAGATTTTCCTTTTTTCCTTTGAGACTGTTTTTATGCATTCAGATTAAAAAAAAAATTCCCCTGCTATGCTTTCCACACAAGAACGCCACGCAGTTGGACACTGGAAGGGAAGTTTACAAGTATATCATGAACAAAATTGTTAGAATATTTCATAATGTTTTCAAAGTACAATTCTAGAAACCTTTTATGAATCTGTAGTTACTAAACACTTCATTCACTTCAGTGAAAAACATTCACAACGTCATGGAAAATACTGGTGTTATGGGACACATGGAAAATAAGAAACCCTGATTATGTTTAGTTGCGGGACCTGAAGAAACAGACTGATCCTCAGCAGTGACGAGAAGAATGTGGGTTTTGGTTGTTTTGTCCTATTTATTTTCCAAAGAAAAGACACCGTGTCTACATTTTCAGAAAAACTACAGAATGAGCAGACCTGAACATGAAGTTTCATATTTTTTTTCTAAGTAATTCCTCCGGGGCAAGGTTAAGAGTTCAGCTGTGAAAAGGACAGAAAACCAATTTCGTTTCAAGATACGAAATCCTTTGTTTGAATACAAAAGTCAATTTGTAACTTCTTTGAAACATTTTTTTCAAAAAAAAAAAAAAAGTGCACTTTCTGATAGAGCACTCTAAGTAATATGCACTATATTTTAATTTTTAAAAAAATTTTATGAGTGTATAAATTTTATGTTCCTGGATGGAGGCATGGATGTCTATGTATCTTTTTAACATAGAAAAGAACCTGGAACCCATAATGGATAAACTAGAGCTAAATGTAAAAAGTGCATTTTTATAGCAACAATAAAAAAAAAGAAAAGGGGATCATTAACTTCTTTCAGACAGTGATTTTAGATGCTACTTGAAACCAAAGTAGCTACAAATTCTGGAAACACAGAACCCCTCGAGTTGGCAGTGTCCCTGAACCAAACACCGAGCAACATGTCTCGGTTTGATGACGATGGACTCACACAGGCTTCAATCACTACGTGCTGGAACAAACACACCACCAAAAGGCTGGGTTCATCTTCAGAAGATCGTTACTGATGGAGTTCCACCTCGCAGTGGTGAGAGATCAACTGTATGGACCGCGAGGGAGGTTTGGGAGGCAGCAGATGTTGGTGGGGAGTTGTCAACCGGCAGCTTAACCCCCAGGACTTACCTTGCACAAAATTCAAGTGGGGACAGTAGTCCAAACAGAAATCTGAGGTGGCTGAAGCCATTTCTACAAATTTCGTTGCCAGTTCCTTAAAGAGAGTTTCTCTCAAAGCCTGTTTGCAAAACGGTTCACCAGACAAGCTCTACATTTCCATTGGTGACAAAATTTATGAGAGAAATATGCTATACCAGCAAAAAAAAAAAAAAAAAAAGTTCTAGTAAAATTGCATTTACATTAGAACTTTTGCCAGTATACCTAGACGCATTTAAAAAATAAAATGAAATAAACTACATCCTTTTAGCAATACTGCTATACTGGTCAATGTTCCAAATGTACACCAGGCCCTGTTTCTGCCTCATAAAAACATCTCTGAAGGATAAATATTTTGACTTATGAATGCACTGTATTCTATCAAACAGCAGGTATTATCAACAACATTTTCTCGTCTTGGATTTTACCTTTCATGAGATTTTCTAATGGTGAATCCCTGGATGGCCACATTTTAGCTGCAGAATAATGTATTTTACAGCCATGATAGCATAATCACAAAAAAAGGTGTTATTCTTACCCACAGTCTAATTAATGGCTGAAATTCAACATTCACCCAGCGTAAGCCTACAAATGGAAAAATCAGATCCCTTCCTGTACGGTTGATGACAGACTAGGAAATACCTTCCCACTTCTTTAAGGTAGTCATAGGACCTGGTCCAGCCTTCAGTAATGCAGGCACTTGTCCCTGCGTTACGCAGCAACCACCAGATTTATACAGTACAATTTTATACCTTGTTTTGGCACATATAGGTGTCACCCAGACTTGGAACCGTATGGCAATCTTAGTTTTAATTTACAAGGCAGACACAGGAAATAAAACTGAGATACTGCTGTATATTCAAGTTGCATAATTTCTTCTGTACAATACCATGTAAATGTGAGTGAATATTTAGAGCATACCTCATTGCAATTTTTCCATCTATTTTTCCAAAGATTATTTGCTTACAGATGTGCATATACATGTATGAGAAAAACCGAAGTGGTAAAGGTTTTAAAAAGCGACACATCTTCTATTTTACATATTTAGGGATGAAAAAACAAAAGAGTTAATGAACTGCTGGTGGCAATAAGGTCAGATTGGCCTGACAGCAGGTGAAATGTACAGGCGAAATTGCTATAAATACAAAAGCACATGTTTTCTCTTTTGTATTTCCATGTTTACTGGCAGTCAAAAATACAGCATGCTACTGGCAAAGTGAATTTTAAAAGTCACCATGACAATATAACAGAATCTCTCAGTTTTTTTTTCTTTCCTTTGTAGTGGGCCCTTTTAACCCAAACCTACATGTAAAAATGTGTGAACTGTCATTTTTCTAAAGTGTTTGTAATTAGGTGGTTTATGCTAGAAAACATAGATTGCTGTTAAGTATGTATTATGATTATTTTTGCTTTGTATTATTCCATAAGAATCTGTGGATATTCGATTAAAATGAGACTAATCCTTAAGCAAAAATGCATACCCCTCATTTTGTCAGTATCTTTTATTTAGACTTTGGGTCCATACAGAAAATATGATGAAAATTTTTTGGTTTGGATGCCATTCCCTTGAATAAAGTAAGTCAAAGTTCTCCCTGGCAATTATGATACTGCAGAAATGGACCTCTCGGAATGTTTTTACTAAAATAACTTCTATTCTACCACTGGGGCATATGATCTTTCCAAGTTTCCCCTCAGTGTTAGGCTTTAGAAAAGAGTAATGGAAAAATTGCTTCCCTTGGGTTTCTATCAAGCTGTACAGAAGTACACTTGTCTCAGTTTTTTTTTTTTAACCTTACCTTATCCTTACCTATCTTTTTATGATCAAATTGATAACATGATTGGGAATTAAACTGTCAAAACACACACACACACAAAAAACAACCCAAAGTTGCTTAAACAGAAAAAAACCAAACCAGATATACCCTTATAAACAAGTACTTACAGAAAAAATGCCTGAGATGGATAATTTGAATGGGGTTTAGAGAGGTTATTAACAAATTTCAATTAATGAATTGGAAGTATAAATACCTATAAGCCTGATCCTATAACAAGCATTACTGTATTCATGCTGTGAAATAACCCATTCAGAAAACACATATTTGTTTAAATGAGTATATATTCATAGGGCTACACTTTTACAGTTCTTTTGTATGTATGAAAGCAGATTTTTTTCCTATGATTTTATTTTCACCAAAAAAATTCTACCCCAATCACATGAGTATTGGCAATATATTTATTTTCTGCTAATCCTTTGGTTTTTTGTTAAATTTACATACAAAAGTTTGTAGAAGGAATTGCAATGTTATATCTCAAATATTACATTTGTGTGGACAATAATGTAGGAACCTGTTGCCCGGGGATGTAACAGTAGTGTGGTGCTAAATTACAACTAAAATCCTGTAGCTACTTAATTCTGAGGTGCTTCTGATGCGGGTGGTGAATGAAAGACTTAAAACATTTCAAGTGACCTAGCACCAAAAGTATCAGTGGTGTGTCATGACGGAATGTGGTCAATGCCAACAAAGGAAAGAGCCAGGGAGTCATAGTTGAGGTGTGCCAAAACCCACTCTACACACAAAGAATGCAACCAATATAGCGGACAAAGTTCAAAAGCTCCTGATGTTATGACTACACCAGACCACAAGAAATAGGATTAGCTACCCTCCCAAAGCAACAAAGTTTCCCCATCAGAAGACAAGATGTCCTTCTCAAAAGAAAACATACCCTTTGATCAGCCTTCACTGTAGTTCTCCATTAGCCATTCCTCTACTTGACTGATTGTGATTTTATATTAGTGTTTTCATTTAGCAGTCTCTGAAAGCTCTGAATGTTCCCTAGATCAGACATTTTTAAAAGACCTCTGCAGCGAAGTGGCTGCCGTTTGAAAGAGAGAAAAGAGGGACACTCAAAAAAAAACCAACCCAGAATCCTTTAAACATATCAATACATTGTCTGTTTGAGGAGTTTTGACAGAAGGGGAGAGTGAAGTTAAAGATTATGTGTTTACTGCTCTTGCCACCACTTTATTTACCTGTGCTAAATTTTTCTTAGGCAAGTATCCACAAACCTCGGTTTGGGATGGGTCAGCACTGCTCCAGAGACACCATGCAAGGCCTTTCAGAGGATATAAAAGCTGGGACACCGCACTTTTCTTGACTGGGTCTATGATCCAAGTTTGTTTCTAGTCCTTTTAACCAAGATGGTGGCAGCTGTGATTAAGATCAATAGCAGAACGTCAGGTTAAATTTTTTGGCAATCTTTCTAATGGAAGTTTAGACGCTATAAACTCTCCATCAACTGCACAGTTTATTTTCATGGCTCATTTTTTTTTGTATTAGATGCCTAAAACCCACCTGAATTGCATGCTGGCTCTCACATCTACTCCACAATCAGCTTTAATTTTAAGGCACTAAAAAAACATAACATCACTGCATTGCATGATTTATTTTTTTAAATAAAAAAGCTTTTGACAAAATCACTTTCCACCCAGACCTCGCTTTGGCAGTTTGAATGAAAAGTCAGTATTTTCTCACGCCTTCTCAGTACTGAAATCTCCGCTGTCCCAGGAGTTGTGAAAAAACTGTCACCCAAGTGGGAATCTTTTCTCCCACGTGTGCATTATGTGACTGATCTAATGTGATCAAAAGCAGTCAGTTTGCCTGAGGAACATCAGACTGGAGATTAACAGGGGAATGCGAGCTGAAGAGCTGAGTTCTGAGATTTAAAGCCGCAGAGAAAGCCAATACATTCCAGTTAAACTTCATTTTAGATTGGTTGTATTTTTTTTAGTACATCAGAGAAGAGTCACAAAGGGCGACTCAGCCTCCAGATAAAAGATAATAATGCCCAAACACCAGCTGTAAGAACAAAATTTTGTACCTGGAATGGAAAGAAAAGAGAAATTACAGGCAGGGATTGCACAATGTCACTAATAGGTGCTCAGAACATAGGTCTGAGATAAAACAATTCTGGGAGCACTTCAGATACAGACTGACCGGGCTTGAATGTAAAGACTTTGACTCCTCGTGTTATCATAAGCTAGTGCACAGCAGCAAAATCAACCTGCTTCTCTTCTCAGTGTCCCCGTCCTGCCTCAAGTAGTCTCCCAAATCCAGGTACCTCCTCACACCAGACAAAAGACTGGTGTTCTTGCATCATATTACTTCATTTTAACATTTTTTTCATTCTTTAAATGCCAAAAATATCTATTCCCTTATTTCTTGTGGTTTTATTGTTATTAGCACATCATCCTGCAGTCAAATAAGTCAAGGTAAATTATTAATAATTCTACCACTCTGAACTATGTTCTAAATTCCAAATGTAGCCTCTCTGAAAAGATTACATCCACAAAGATCCATTCGAAGGAACATTTTTAAAGTCCATTTTAAGAATTTAAAGGCTTTCTGTTTGTGTGTTACAACACAGTCCTTAATTACTTGATAAATGGAAAATATTCTTTTGCACAGGGCACCCAGCCCATAAGTACGTTAATTTTGCAGTCCTAAAATTCTTCTAATGTAGTTTGTTGGGTGTGTCTGGTTTTGTGGATTATTTTTTTTCCAAAGGAAACTAAAAATAAATTAATTGTACAGATCTATAATCGAATCAGAGTTTTTGCTAGACTCCTAATATCAAGCACCCAATTTATTTTAGCAAAACCTTATCAAAAACCCTTAGCCTGAGGCACTTAGCATGGGAAATTTCAGTATGAACACAGTGTGTGACCAAGTTTTAACACATTACAAAAAAAAAACAACCCAAAACAAACAAAATAAAACTGATAATGAAAATAAGTGGTCTGTGTATGGTGTTGCTGTCTCAAGTTTTGACTAAAATTAAAGATCAGTATTCTTTTTTCTGTCTGTTTGTCTTTAACAACAAAAATAGTCTTACAAAATGTTAGTCACACCAGGAAATCTACCAAGAGACCTACAGATTTCTATAAAATGCCTCCGCAAAAACTGAATTTATTCAGTAAAGATCATCTCCCTGCACAGGACTCCCCAAATCTTTGAGTTCCACATACAGCCTGAGTTTGTCAGTCACTGCAGTGGGCCCTGGGCAATAGGTAGAAAAGGCACCATCCTCCAAAGGATGATTCAGCCCATCCATCCTACAGCCAGCTCTGAATGGAATCAGTCCCTAGCCCTTGAGGTGGCCGAGCAGAACCAACCCCATCCTCAGTTTGGCTCAGGTGGAGCTAAGAAACGACCTTCCTCTATTACTGGAACCAACTTGGGGGCAGAACAGGGCTGCCAGCTCCTCCTGGCACTCTGCAGCCGTGGCAGGAACAGTCCAGCCCCGGGCATCTCGCTGGCCCTGAAACAAGATCAAGGACCAACACCAAGAGAGCACTAACTCCAGAAAACATGAGGTAGTTGTTCTGCCCTCCACTTTGGATCCCACACCTGCATGCCACCTCTGTGGCAGTTTGCTCCTTGGGAAGGGAACAGTTTGTCCTTTTTTTCAGCTCCCTCTGAGCCAAGGCAGCTGAGGGGAGCACAGAGAGGCAGCATGAGCTCTGCTCCTGACACAGCAACGACCTTACTCAGTACAGCTGAAAGTGAAGAGTACACAGGTATTAACAGCATCAAACAGGAGAAAACCTCAAAGAATAGAAGAGAAATGTGCATTCATGAACTTGTCTTCCAGTTAGAGCATTTTCTTTCTAAAATACATATCAAGTGTTAGCCCTGCACACCCAGCTGAGAGTACTTAATTATCTTTTAGCATAGGATTGTATCTGGGGAAGCAACTGCCACACACTGAAGCACCCTGATTTTTCTTTAACATTGTCTGAAGAAATTGTGTATAGTAGAGTATACACTATATATATAAAAAAATGCATATATCCTATATGAGGATCAGAACTGATATTCACCATTTCTTTAAAACAGAACTCAAAATAATCCAAATTGAAGCCAAAATAACTCAGAGGACAAATTACCCATTGTAAACTGTGGTAAATGGCTTTCAAGGCTGAGAGGCTGAAGTCCAGAACACGCCTCGTCCCGTATGTCTGGGTGACACAGGATTCAAGTGCTCCGTGATGTTCTGACAAGGGACCACACAGAAGCACTTCACAGTAACCAGAATGGTGCAGGAGAAAGGGTCAGAAAGACGCTGAGTGTAATGCTAAGAATGCAGAAGAGAGCAGAAAAATCTTCGGTAACATTTAGAATTGGTAGAAACATTTAAAGGAGACAATTGACCCAGAAATGCACCCCACACACCACATGGTAGGGACAAACACCACACAGAAGCTAAAAAGCAGGAACCCTGTGGTTGCCTTTCTTTCTCCTCTGCCCAACCCCAGATGAATTCTTTGCTCTCTTGAGGCTTCTTTTTATCAATTATACCAATACAAAAGGCTTCTCTATTTCCCCTCATGAAATCCTGTTGGGATAGAGAGTTTCTCCTACAGGCAGGTGGAGCAGGAGGATTGTAGCCTGGGAATGTCACAGGCAACAGGGCAGAAGGGACAGAACACGGGAAAGCCTCAAAATCCACCTGCTGAGAGCTGGCTTGGCCCTACCAACTTTGGAACGAAGCAGCATGGGCAAGAATGAACTTTTAACAGCAAGAGAAGGAAAGCTTCCCTTTATTGTCTGTGTATTACCTATTCAGACTGATTTTGAAGAGTCTGTCAAACACACCTGAAAAACTGTCAGAATATTTTGGAGTGCTGGGTGAATCATCACACATTAACAACATGCCTTATAGCTCAGCTTCCTTGCTGTTCGCTAAGAAAAGCTTGAACATTTATTTCATGCCTCATTCGTCCTCCAGCCTGCTTAATTTTCCAAACCTCCCTCAGGCTTTGCTTTCTTCCTCTCTTCTCATCCATCAGTACCATCCACATCGCCCAAAAGATTCAACTGAGTGGGGAGCCAGATGAGACATGATCTCTCCTAGAATATAAATCAGAGAGTAAAAACTGGCATTCTATTACTTTTAAAAAACTATTCTAATTCATTCCTACTGACTATACAATGTATAGTAACACACAGGCCAGGATTAACTAATTTAAATATGTCACACATCTATAAACATACACCAGTTGTCAAATGGCACTGGAAATGTCTGGCATCTGTTTAAAAAATTATTCCTGGAATTACTGCAATTGTTACTTGGCACCACACAGACACAAAATATAAGCATTTCTTGTATATCTTACTCCTTTTTGCCTCTGTATCCACTAATCTCATGAAAAAAATTCCTTGTGTAGACCACTGAAATCCAAAGAGGATCCCTTCTTGCAGCACAGCTCCAAAGGGCTCCATCAGGAAAAGTTTGGGAAGCACAGTGTGGAGAGGGAAACAACTACTGAACCTGATACTGCAGGAACTGAGAGTTTAGAATAATTTCTCCATCTCTGTTTGGACTTCTTCAGTCCAGGTTTCCCTTCCCTCACAGTCTTCACTTCAGATTATCTTTTAATCTATCCCTTTTACATTTACCCTCCTGTTTTTTCAGTCAGACCCCATCACTTTTCCTTTCCTCTAGAATATTTTTCGGGGTTAATCCCACATCCCCAAAGTAATGGTATATTGAAACGTTCTCATCTGTATTTTCCTTGCGTGCACAGCTGCTTCTCCCCAGTCCCATCCCATCATGTCTAAGTTCTCAGAGCTTGACCTGTCTACACGTCTGTCCCTGCTCAGGACTGCAGACCTTCTGCCACCGACAGCAGCCATGGGATCAGCTGCAGCAGAAAATATCCCCTCTGATGGTGGCAGCTCCTGGCCTCGAGCCACTCCGTTACTGCTGTGAAAAGATGCCAGCTAGTTAAGCATTATACTATTTAAGCTTGTTATTCTACTAGCCTAATATTCCTTACTATTAGCTGTTCTAGTTCCTGGCAGTTAACGGTGAAGTGCTGTTCTGTTTATGTTCTTTCCCTCATTTTTGTTTAAAATAAAAGCCTACCTTCCTCCGGAGGGAGTATGACAGGTTTTGAGACACGAGCAGCCTCCAAAGCCTGGGAGAAAGACTCTCTCTGGAAAGAATAAACAAACCCATGATTTAAAAATTCACGAGTGCAAATTAATCTCATTCCTTTGCCTGTTCTTTCCCTAATTTGTGTGTCGTCCCATCCAACGCTCCCCTCCTACAGGGCTCCAGCGGAAGGAACCTTGGCATAACCTTGCTCATACTATAAACCATGTCTTATGATTAGTGAAGGATTTAAAATCTTAATTTAAGCTTTAGAATAAGTGAGTCATATTCTGCCACAGAAAGGTCAGTGGACACACAGAAACTAAACTGTCCCTGGGAAATGATATCATCGTGGCTCCACAAATATTAAACTGGCTCCTGCCAAATTTATCTTAGTTTTAACAAAGAAGATTAATATTAAGCTTTTAGTAAACATTTGTATTCTAAAAATAATGCAAAGAGAGGGAACATTTTCTATCTCTGATTGAAGCACCCTGTTGAATGGTATTTGTATTAGTAAAGTGTTGAGTAGATAACGTATCTGCAGGATAAACAAGCCCCCAAAAAAAGGAAGTTTCAGATGACTGACACATAGCTCACTGAGAAAAGTGGCTAACACAACTTGCTAAAAAAAGCATTTATGAACACTTGGCATTTGCATAGACATATTTTTACGGCTTGGGTAAAGTTTGTTGTAGCTGGGAAGTGTAACTGTCACCATTCATTTCAGACAGTCTTTTTGTCCAGGGTTTTTTTTTTTTGTCCTCGGGGAAGCAGACAGCTGAAATGCCAGAGGTCACCAAAGACAGGCAGGCACATGCTACAACCTAAAGGAACAGCAAGGCTGGGGCAAGGCAGGAATCTGAGAATTTGAATTATATGGGTGAATACGATTTCCCTGGATGGTCAGTGCGTGAGTAAGAATAGGGGTGATAGAAAAAACCACATCTAGTAGTTCAAAAACAAACTCTGGAAAAGCCGGACATATCCACAGGAGAACTGAGGGACCATGAGGAAAAGCTTTAAAGCATGAGGTTTACAGTGAGGGCTACAGGAAGAAGATGTGCAACTGTGAGCTTAAAAAAAAACAACCAACCGAAATCAAAACACCAAAAAACCCCATGCCTTCTGTCCTGCATTCCTCTGGTTTTCCGAAAAAGAAACCCAGAGTTTTGGCCTTCTTTATAGAGATAGTGGGACTTCACTGTTCTGGAATTCACTGATCCCAAACAACGCAGCCAAATACTAAAAACTGCCACTGCTCCTGCCACAGTTATTTTTTGTTTGCTGTCTGTACTCAAAATGCATTGCTTCTTTCGACACATCTTAGGCCAAATATTCATTTTTTCAATGCAGAAACCCAACCTGCATTTCTGAAGCACATTCACATTCATGGATCCAACAGGGCAGAATGCAATTTCCACTCAGCACGAGGAGAGCACGTTCCAAAAATATTTGGATTAGCATGACTCCAATGAAACAAGGACCAGATCAGAGGCAGCTGAGACCAGCATCCTCCCCTAACTTCCATACAACTTCTGAGCTGCCTGGTTTTTTTCTGGCATGTAAGGTCAAACGTGGTAAAATAAGCACTGAAGTAACATACAATTTTTTTTTTTTTAACCGAGACACCTTCCTGCTCACGGACAGGAGAGAAACACAGTGAAGGGCATGAAAAAATTGAGCAGAAAGATAATCTGAGGTCAAACTTTCAGTTGGTGGAAATTAGCATTGCTCCTCTTGAGTGCACAATGACAATTTACACCAGCTGAGGGGCTGGTGTGGAGACTGTGCTGGAAGCCATGGAGCTGCTGGAAATCAAACTGCCCTGAATCACATCTCATTCATATGCAAGAATTCCTGCTCCAAATTTCTCTGGAGCGATCATTTTACATTGCGACCTTGGAAATGATGAGTAAAGTCTGATTTGCAAGTGATATCTTCAGGAGCAATCAAATAGTGTGCTCATGTTGACCATAAATAATAATTACAATGACAACAATAGCTGAGATCTATTCATTAAACACATAATTCAGACAGCATAATACAGTGGAAAAAGACCATTTGTTACAATGCCACTCATAAATTCACCAGGTTCTGTCTTAAAACCGTTTTATTTTCTTGTCTCCAGTACCTTCACTTCAAGACTTGCAAAATCTTACACCCCAGACACCTAACAATCTTCTAATTTGCAGTCCATGGTTATTCACAATCAGCTCATTTTATCAAAGCGCTGGGCCTTGACCTCAAGGTTGATGAGCATAAAATAGCTTTGTAAGGAAAAGTAACATCTTTTATTAGATCAACAGCCATAGCTGGGGTGAGACAAGATTTTAGACCACAAACCCCTTCTTCAGGCCTTAAATAGTAGCAGAAAAAATCAAGTTAAATACAGTTTGGGAGTAGTTGTTTTTAATTAAACTGAATGATGGCAAAAAACTACCTAATTTGGGGAAAAGGTATCCATAACATGCTGGGACAATACTTTGCAGCCAGGGAGAAAGTGATGGAGGCAGTTTGGAAAAAAAACTAGAATAGAAGCAGAGTCCGCCTGCTCCTCTGAGCAGGGTGAGAATCACCCCCTGCCATTCACCTTCAGGCAGGGGCAGCCCTGCATCAGCGCTCGCCTCGTGCCACACGGACCTCTGTCCGTGCAAGAGCACAATGCCAGGACCAGCTCTGCAGGCTCCAAAAGTGTAAAGAAAACAGATGAGACACCACACACCTAGGGATCTACCTCACTAAGGTTCTTTATAATTACTTTACAAATCACTGTAGGACAAAGAACCCTTACATATGCTTTTTAATACTTCCATACACTGATTTTATTAAAAGGCACCAAAGGGACACAGTGGTTTGGCTGATTTAAGCTCTATCTGACAAGATATTTAAAAATACATACTACATACTTCACATCATGCTCATCTGAAAAAATGGAGCTGTTGTTAACTGCCTTCACCCAACATCTCTCAAGACAGCCCTGATTTTAGAAGCACCTGAAAAAAAATAAAATTAAAGCACAGGTTCCAAAAAACTTAATCATGGTGAAAGGTATTTACTCTAGGCAGAGTCCCAGCTATAGTTAACTTACCTTAAAAAGTGCTACTTTACACGAATAAACAGTGGAGAGGGAGGCCCTGTGGAAAGGTAATATTTTATGACTTTGTGTCCACATATAAAGGATAAAGTTCCTCCTAAAGGTTCAAAAGATAATGATCCAAATGTATTAAATGGATTCACTCAGTCTCTGCATATTCCTTTCTCTGAACAGCCTCGCTAAAGGAAGTAAAAATAAAAAAATGAAATTTATATTCTTTGCCTCCCCTGTTAGAAGTTCAGAGAAAAAAAAAATCCTTCTCATGGCATTCCTGGATGCATTTCAAATAAGTAAGAGGAAATTCAAATAAATAGGAATTGATGAAAAAAAAGGGAGGGAAAGAGGGAGTTTGTCTGACTTCAAGGAAAAAAAAAAAATATGAAAAAAAAAGGCACTTAATGAGATGTCCTCGCGCACCTCCCTGCCTTCTCCAGCCCTCCCAAAGGGACTGCAGAAAGGGGTGACATTTCCACCTCCCCTATTACTAATTTAGGCAAAGGAAGAGGGTGCCAAAAAAGCTATTTATAGGGGGTGGCAGCGGGCGGGGGTCGGCGAGGAGTGCGGGAACAGGTGCGGCCTGACCCGGCCGGGGGGGCGACGGGGGGGAAGGGGACACGGCCAAACCCGGCCCGAAAATGTGACATCGGGGGCTCATGATAGTCACAGGGCTCCTCCATCCGCCGCGGGGCGGGGACTCGGGGGGAGGGCACTGCCCGGGGGGCTATAAATTATGGACAAACCCGCCTTTTCCCTCAATGAAATAGCAGGGGGTAGAGTGGAGCCGGGAGGAATAGAGGGGGGGAAAAGGATCAAGTGGCGGTTTGCTTCCCTGAGAAGCCATTTTAGCTTTTCTAAGGGTTTTTTGCAGGTTTTTTTGTTATTTATTTATTTTTTCTCACCGCATTCCTGCTAAGGAGGCAACTCTGCAGAGATGAAATACATCATAGGCATCGGAGGGTAAGTTCCTGTTAATATTCCATACCCTTTTTTTTTAATTGTTGTATCTAAGATGACTTATGTCTAGATGATACAGCCGACCTCTAAAATAACATTACAGCATTCCAAAGAAAGATGCGACTTAGAAGGTCTTAATTTGTGTTGCTCTCACTTAATTCAGAGCTCTGCAGGGTGGCACGCATCAAACTTTTAGCACTTCTATAGTGTTAAGAGGAGGTATGCTGAAACAGGAAAAAAAATTAAAATATTACAAATCATTTTAGAAGTCAGATAGTGGGGGTGGTGTGCCTAAGCTGTGAAAAAAAAAAAGTTTTTAACACACGCTTTCCAAAGCTCTGAAATGCAGAGAGGGGAAAAAAAGTTTAAGTAAGATGAGGGTTGTATAAAAAGCTTTAAAAAGCTTTTATTTGCCCCAGCCTTGAGGGTTCTGGGAGTGGGGCTGTGGGCGCAGGGACAGGGCAGCAGCGCCTGGGCTCAGAAAGAGGGCTAGAAACAACCTGAGACTTGTATAGCCTTTGAATAAAAAATTAGAAATAAATACCCTTAGAATTGACCACCTTTGTAGGGGGGGATTTCTCGGGCCTTGCAGGTACAAGGAAAGCTGAATCGTTCTCTGAGAAAAGACCGGGCTTCCCTCATTCATAGTTAAGGTGTATTTAAAAAGCACTCTTGGCCGGCCTTACTTTCACAGGGTGGCTTCTCTGCGGGTGGTTTAGGGCAACGAGCGCGGGTAAGGGCGCGTTTTCAGTCCGCCTGGGAAGCTGCCAGCTCCCTGCCAGGCCCCGGCGGGGAGAGGAGCCGGCGGCCGCCGCCGAACCCCGGCGGGGCCTGACAGGGCGCCGGGAGAGGAGGAGGAGGGCGAGCGGCTGGAGCCGCGCAGCCTCCTCCATATTGAGCAGCTGCCCGCCGGGCTCCTTCCCCGCGGCTCGGTCGGGTTTGGGGGTAGCAGAGGCGGCTCTGAGGTGAGCCGAGATGGCGGCGCTGCCCCGTCCTCCCTCAGCCCGGCCTTAGAGCGCGCGCGGGAAGCCGCGC